ACAATCCATTAAGAGTTACCAACAACAATACAATGAATAGCTTACATATATGTATGATTGAACAGGTTCAGAGAAGAGAACAGGCTTCTTGCAATTGGTTATACTGTGCAATCAAACTAGGCAATCAGAATATGTTTGCTTGAGTTCATGTGACAGCAAGCAGAACTGTTACGTCGATATCTCTTCTCCGCGTTTTTCGGTATGCGTGTGTGTTTATTTATGCACATTGTTCAGAATCAGTGAATATGTATATGCGATAAGCAAGAACCTTCAACCGTTCAACTGTTGCAGCATAAAATATGCACTGACCTCTTTCTCTGTTGTTCTTGAGATCTTTCTCTTCCGCTTGATGCAATGAATTCTTTTCAAACTGACCGTTTATTCTTTCTCTTTTTTGACTTCATTGAACACAAAAGAGTTGGAGTTACGATGTCCTTCTTTGGACAAACATTATCGATGAAGAAAGAGAAGAAAAAAAATCAACTTTTAAAGAATCCATTATATAAGTTATATTCATTACGCTGACTCATCATCCTTCACTTTTTATTGAGTTATTCGTCATCTCAAACTACTCATGATTCTCTCTCTCTCTGTCTCCTTTTCAATTCTACGTGTTATTTTTTTTCTTTTTTTTAATGTTTGCTTGCTCTTAAAGTGGGTTTGTGTATACGTCTTTCTTTCTTGATATGTATATATATATATATATCTTCAGGAATGACAAGCTGACGAAAATCTTGACGGTGAGCCGTAGGCGTTTTTAAACAAAGAGAAAGCGAAAGAAAAAAAAGAAGCAAACGATACGAAGTTTTAGTCAACTATTACCAAACTCGTCTTATAATCTCTTAACAAAGTGTATCAATCAAACATGTAGGCGTTTATTCCTATTTGAAAAGGAATATGAGTCAGCGAATTATACAAGTACGTATAAGAATTTTCGTTTTTCAACCATTCATTTTGAATGACTCTCTCTTTTGCCATGTTGCTTCTAGTTATGCTAGTAGTGTTATGATATAAAGGTGTATTGATCGTTGTTTTTCATCTAAATATATGCAAAGAATATATGTATAGTGTAGCAGACATGTACGTTGAACAACGATGAATACGAAATGAAGTGGTGCTAGGAATAGGTTAGTGTCTGAGCAATTTTGATTTAACACATCGATTTGTTTTGTTTTCTCTTTATTGATTGTGTAATGAATATGTGAATAGGACTCGTCTCATATCCATCTTCTCGATTTGTATATTGCCAAGTGGGTGTAAGAAGAATTCATTTTTGTGTTGTATTCTTCATCTACTTCGTTTTTTTTTTCAATTTTGAAGAGCACGACGCGTCGAGAATAACAACATAATAACAACATCGGATCGATTGCATGATCGATAGAAAGAAAAGAAGATGAGAATATAAAAGTATTATTCAAAACGTGACCTGTTCAAAAAAAAGCGAAAGAACGACATCATTGCATAAAGAAATGATGATCAGATTTCGTTCAAATGATTTTCTCTCTTTCGAATTCGAATTTGTCTCGACGCATGTGTCCTTGTTCTATTTATCGATACTTTCTTTTCTCTCTTTCTGGCCATATATACATAGATCTAGGCACCACACTACTATATGACTATGTATCCTCTAAAAATATGCTTTTCTTCGTTTCAGATGGCCATAAGTAGATTTCACTAAGTTTATTATACACACAAACACACGTACAAATACAGTCATGGTTAACAGATCAATAATCTTTTCTTTATTTCTCCTATGTATTCTCACTTTCGATCAGAATGTCACAGCATCAAGTAAGTTCAAAACAAATCGATTTACTTCTACTTACCTGCTGGCACTGTTTACTTCTCATTCGCTAGTAACAAATCGAGGCAACGAAGTATTTCAATTATTGAAAGAAACACGAGATCGAGTCAAACATGGTACACGTACGTAACGATGATTCACGCAAATGTTTTGTACACAAAGTTTACTTTTTAGAATGTCTTCCACCATCAAAGTATTTTGCCGGGTCATGCTATACTTACATGCGATTGTTACCAGCCACATCATGGGAACGAGCATATAATAATTGTCAAACATTGTCCATGGGAAGAGATGCTCGATTGTTAGTGATCGATTCTATTGCGGAATATGAATTTGTTGAACGGGAACTCATCGGACCGAAATCAGGATCTGATAGTGTTTCAGTTTATGTTGGATTACGTAAAATCAATGGTGAGTCATCGAATGTTTTCGTTTTTCAACGAGTGTTTGTGTTTGTTCAGATACATGGCTATGGTCGAACGATGTGCCATTGAAAGAAACTCCGATATATCGATTTTGGGTCGATAATAACAAGGATATTCTTGCCTATGATTGTGGTGTTCTCTGGCTGGCTCGAAATCGAAGTGTATTAACAGCAGCTGCTTGTGCTGAACAAGCTCTACGACCGTATGTTTGTAAACATAGTAAGTTATACAATTTGTAGGATAAAAAATGAAACAGCGATAACATTCGATTGTTTTTACCTTCTTTAGCAATCGATCGTTGTTATAATAATAGTGGGGGTTGTGGAAAATACGGAACATGTATAAATTTACCATTGATCAATTCTCATAAATGTCAATGTCGATTTCTATACAGCGGAGCGCGATGTGAAAAATGTAAGTGATCTTAGTTTATATTGAAAAATATTTCATTTCTGAAAAATCATTCAGGGAGTAGTCAAGGTTTACAAGCAATCATTGGTGGTTTTATCATTGTTGTAGCGTTGATTGCTTCGTACATTATCAATCTAGATCGATCAGGTGATCAATGGTCTTTTCATAAATCAACTGCTGAACATTACCAGGCGTATGTTCCCCATTATTGATAAATTTTCAATGGACATTTTCGTCTTTCAGTGCAACTTTCTATGGTCAAAGTCGTCCGACATCGTATATGCCGCGATCTCCAGACGCAATCGATCGTGTTATCTTCAATCCATGTTTGCCTCCTCACGACGATTTTTTCGATGCATCAACTCCGAATGAAAAACGTCATCGACGAACTTCTTCTTCCTCAACTCCTCCGCCAATTCCTCCACCAATTGGCCGCTCAATTGAACGTAAACATCGCTATTCCTTTCGTCGTAGCGTTCAAGAACTTCAAGTCACATCTCACATACGTAATATATTCATTAAACCAAAACGTTTGATTTTCATTATTCTACCCATCGTTCTCACAATTATTATTTCGGTGATCATTGTTCATGCAAAACATTATATCAAAGAAAACATCCTCCAAGCATCTTATACGAATACAACACGATTATTTCAATTTTGTGCTTTATATGATAATAATTATTATGTCAATTTGGTAACATTACCAATTGCTCTGGCTATTATTGGATTCATTATCGTGAATGAAACTCGTACGAGGTGCTGTCGGTGTGTAAAAGGGAAAGGCTCTATTTATACACCTATACCATACAATCCATTTTCGAAAGTCAATCGTTTGGATACGATGATTCTCTGTGGAATCGTTAGTCATGAAATTCTTCAGATCATCGAAGAAATTTTTCTCAAAGCTTCGCAAATGAAATTGTTAACAATGCGTGGGCCTTTATTCGATCTTATTCGACAAATCGGTCTCGTAATCATTATTGGTATGCGTTACTATCCCGTCTATTCAGTTGTTGAAATGACCGATGCAAATATTCTGTATTATGGTCTCTGCGCATTATATATGTGGATTGATTTAATCCTACGAACCATTGAACAATCATATTGTGCGAATATCGGACCATTGATTAAGACATGGCATCGATTTCAACAATTTCGAAAGGAAGTTACATCACAATTTGTAACAAGTTCACTGATGACAACAACTGTGGGAACGAATGTGGAGCATGACGGGTTGAGAGGACATTTTCAGAAGTATCGAGAACGATTTGCGAACAGAAAACATCGAACTTCGTCTTCGACAATGTTTCCGGTAATCATTAGACTGAAAATTCTTGTTTTTCTTTATAATGGTATTCGTTTTTCGTTTTAGCCATTACCAGTAAATGTCAATCCGAGTTCATCATTGAATTGGTCATCAATTTATTTGAATTTTTCTTCTCTTCATGATCGCAATGAATCTCAATCAACGTTTGAACAATTCAATATTGATTCGTCAATTATCGGTGTTCTTAAATACGCTCCATATTACATATGTTTAACATATATCTGTATTCGTTTAACTTATTTATTTCTTTTCAAACTCTTTGCTTTACTTCGTTATTGTAATCAAGAGAAAAATTCCTCTCCGAAACATTCATCCAAACATATCTATCACGAACCAGATCTCAACAATTCTCTACCTTCACCATCCTCTGAAACGTTATCTGTAGAGTATCGTTATGTTCGTCATTTACTACAAAAAACTCAACGTACATTAGTTAAAACCAATGAGAAAATCTCATTTGTCAAATCTATATTATACAAAATCTATCGTCCAAACAAATATTTCAATTATTCGAAACAAATTTTGAACATGTATATGATTGCTTTTATGTTAACTTATTATTTAACATTCAACATTCTTCAAGCTGGCTTTTACATCATTGAGAAACTCTACAGTATATTCGCAATTCCATTGATTGTACTCTCTGACGAACTTGACTTGCCACAACCACAACCGTTCAATTTAAAATACGAAATCATGGTTGCTTGTTTTCTAACTGCTGGAATTTATTATTTGCAATTGTTATGGGGAATGAAGAGTTATCAAAAACATATGTTGGATAGTTATAAAGGTAAGGAAAGTTGATTTCGGATATCGGAAAGATTAATTTCGATTGATGTTTTAGGAATTTTCATTGATATTCCACCGAGATCTGCGTTTAAAAGCGCAAGATTGATATCGAAACATGCGCATTACCCAGGATACTGTTTAGCTTATCTGGGCTTCGCGTACATATCGATGGGAAACGTGATTTTTGTGACAATTGTTGTTCTACGTGTAATTTTCAAACATCTTTATTTCGTTGAACAAATCGCGAAAGTTCTCATACCGATCATGGTGATTTATTTATCGAAATTTATATTAATGTGGTTTCTCTCACGAACATTCTTTATCCAAAAGTAAGTTTTGATCTTCTTGCTTTGCGCAAATTGAATATCTTGGGAAATTTTAGACATGGGAAAACGATGGCGCTGAAGAATCTTCGAGCATTTTTTGTCTTTTCATATTTCAATTTCTTCTTCGACTGTTTTCTCGGTTTTGTTTCCTGCAGTCTTCGTGTAACAAAAGCATCCATCGCTGCAATAATCTTCCTTCCACGACTGGATTACTGTATCTTCGGACGAACATTAGAAAAACTGGATTCGGGCTTTATCTCTTACGTCACGTTTATTCACATGGAATGTCTTCACACACATCCTGTCCTCATCTATTATTGTTCATTGGTGAGCGAAAAGATCCTTCAACGTCAACGAGTCAGTCAATTAAGCAAACGGGAAATTCGTCAGTCTGATCTGTGTACATATACACGTCGACAACGAGTAATCTTTCGTTGGTATTTGGTATATACATTGATACGAAACAGTCAATTAGCACGGCTGAGAAAGCACGAAGTGTCTCGTTTTCAATTACAATCTGCCGAGAGTTTTAATGAGTTTTTAGAACGCAAATTTTTCAATCGTTTTCAGTTACCGACAACAAAATTTAATTTAACGACGAATAGTCAAACAAATTTACATCAAAATGGAACAACGAATTCGAATACAATCATTCGAAATCAAACAACAGCATGTACAACTTTACTATTAGATGGCTATGAACATGATGATCGCAAACCATCCTATTAATAAGCAGTCTTTCACTCAAATTGACAAGAATTTGCTCAATTTGAACAATTCCATCTAATATATGAACGGAGAGAAAGAGAGAAGAATCTGTGCGTGTGTGTTTTTCAACTTTTGCTTTTGTTCGACAGTATTATGATGATAATATCTCTACAAAACCATATGTGTTTTGTAGCAGTTTTGTTTTTTGTACATAGAATGTTTCTGTTTTTCGTTTCATAACATTTTCCAAATCATTGTGCGAGAATGTATATGTATGAATTCTTTTCAATTTAGTCTATTTTTTGACAAAGAACAGATTTCAATAAAATACTTTGGTATATTCTTTATATACCAGATGTGATTTCCATAGGCAGATGTTAATCTTTACAAAAATCAAAGTACACATCGGATTGTAAACCCTCCCAAGCATAGAGTTTCGCACAAGAGTCTATTCAAATATCCGCAATGAGTCATGGCAAATATGTACTTGCATATTAGATGAAATCGTCTGAAAAAAGGTCCTATTTATGTATGCGATACCTGGAAGATATTGTTCGAGCAAAACCTCTTGGTAATCGAATATATTTTCATGAATTAAAATCGCAAATTCTATTTGACGACGTCAAGGTGATAAATGTCTACTCTTTCTTCATTTGCGCTTGTCAGATCATTCGGCTTTATTGGCTCTCTAAAACCACATCAAGCCTTTCGAATGCAAATATTCCTAAAGAGTAAATAGGTGGAATAAATAATTTGCAAAAAAAAAACGTAAGAAAATTACCATAATCAAGTTGTTTTTACTCGGTTCAATCCTTTCGCATTACGCGAAGCTTTTAATCTTTCTAGTCAAGTTCTTTTCCCTAAAGAACTCGATGTAGCTATTATTGAATATCTCCTTACTTTTTTCGTGAATATTACACATTGTTTCCATTTCTACTTATTCCTCGAAACAGACATCCGACTGCGAAGGAGAGGCGACGAAAAAAAGTTACACGAAATCCACCCAGTCTTACTCAATATAGTCAGATCGATGCGACTATTAAAAAAACTGAAAGAAAAGTAAAAACGAAAGGAAGAACTATTAGTTCAAGTACCATACGACGAACGATTCAAGCTTCCTCTTCAGTCAGTATGGCTTCCAAAAACGAAATCGAATAAAAGAAAGACAGAACCGAAACAGCCGGTCGATATTCTAACCGAACAAAAAAATAACAAGTAAGATACCATCAGTTAAATATGCATGAATCGATATATAAATAATCGAATGTTAAAAAAAAAACGAAGAAAACTGCTGAAATAACAAGACAAAGGCCGCAAGCATTAATGACGATGTTAATTTTTTCTTGTACTAAAATTGAAAGAGAATGTGTAAGTAGATGTAATTTTCTGTTTCTGTCGTAGAAAAAAATTCGAAAGTACAAGCAATTCAAGTCAATAACTATTTGACGTTTTAACTTTAAGAATACATGCAACAACAACAACAAGACGCTTGATGAGAATAACTGTTGTGATTATGCAAAAAACAATGGTTGGTATCGTTTAACGAGCGAACGCATATTCAGAGCAGAGTTTTTCGAGACAGCAGTTCTTCTGATGTGTACATATGAGATGAAAAGCATAGATATAGTTAGTCGATGAGAATGGCATCTGTGTGTGACACAATAAACATTTAGCTTTACACACACAGTAGACGATTGCAAATAGAGATTCCTCGGGGCCTTGATATAGACGATATTCTATTTGTTCGAAGGAGTCTTACAGAAGGAGAGAATAAAAGAGAAAAAGAAACGAGTATAGAGGCCCATTTCAGAAGCAATTACAAGTGTGAAATGGATTAGACAGTCAACGAATAGCCTTCTACAGTTCGAGCGTACATAGATAGATACAGAACCGTATCGTTGTGGTATGTATATATCATTGTTTGCTCTTTCTCGATATTCATACGTAACGATGATGACTCGACTCATTTCTTTCAAATAAGATTGTCTAACAATATTTCCTTTCTCTTTCTTTGTCTCTATAAATAGTTTGCGGTGATTGAAAGTGCACGTTCATAGCCAGTTCGCCATTAATTTGGGCAAAAATGGCTACACGAAACTATTTCGATCGTACATTACCAAGAAATAGCTTGGGCGGATTTTATACATCAGCATCGTTAATTGACAACCGGGGTGCATATTCATTACCGTCCAGAAGATTTGTACGTAAGCTTTTTCATTTTTCACGATCTTTCTCCCGCTGGCGTGTCTGTGGAACACGATAATCACATAAAACCTAAGATGAAAGAGAGTACGATTTGTCTATATATATATATATATATATTGAGGAGTATAATAGTGATATAAAATGAAACCTTTTATTTTGGCAAGTGTGCGTAACAGTAGACATATTGTGAAATTGGAGATGTTCCTTTTCTCTCTGTTTGAAGTTTATCTCCTTGTCATTTTTCTCTTTTGTTCTCGTTTTTTTCCTATTTTATGGATATAATGATTGACATATTAGACTTCTGTTTCATTTTCTATATTCAACCGATGTTATTCATAGAGAATATGAAAGGAATATTGTAAAAAAAAGAAGTTTATCAGTTGTAAAAAAAGAATAATACGAGTTCGGTTTTGATTGATTTGTCTGTTTATTTTAGGGACAGCATTACCTACACGACACGAACCTCTATAGTAGGGGCAAGGTCTTTTCTTCTTCTTCTTCGTCTTCGTTCTCTGCTACTCAACAACCACCTCAGTCTTCCGTACCTGCAGATTCCTATTCAGGACACGTTCGTGAACGTAGTGTATCCCTAACACGATCACCCTCATTCTCTCAAATGTCTTCACCACATTATCAATCATCTCTGGACCTTGTTGCCGCATCACTTAAATGTGACGATTGTCGAACCAATGATGGTCTTTTTCAATGTTGCCATTGTGACCAACGTTTATGCATTCAATGCTGTAACAAACATTACAAAAACATCACTGTTGAACTCGAACGTCTACATGAGTTAAGTGACCGACTGGTCGCTAAAATCTTAGATGCAAAAAACGATCTTGAACGACAGAAGAACGAAGCACTTGAACAATGTCATAAATGGCGTGTAGATACCATTAATACCATTAACAAAGCGCATACACTGATTGTTCAAACTGTTCATGATGAATACGAAACCCTGGGAAAAGAATACGAATCTTTTGTCCAACAAGGTATGGCGCATATTCACGTCGATCAAAACGAATTGATGCGGATGAAGAAAAGTAATTTAGGCTCATTATTATCAACAGCAACCAGTTCGTCGACAAACGATTCGACGAATGCAATCGATACAATACGAAAACGCATTGAAACATTTGCGAAGACAGTTGATGAAACAGGACGGTTTTCTTTCCAAGTGAGATTACCGACATTCTATATCGATGATAGTCTACGAGTTGACTCACGTTTTGGTGATGTGACACGAAGTACAAGTGCAACATGGAAGAACGACGATAATTTACCAACTTCACCATCGACTGAACGTTTAGATTTCTCTAAGTTGGAAGAATCAATCATTCCTAACGATATCATAGCAGAAAAAGTTGATAAATCTAACAAATCGTTCGATAACAAACAACACAAAACATCTGATGTACAGTCCTCACATTCCACCGAAGAGACGCATGAAGAAGAAAAGAAACCATCTGGAAACACTCAATCAAACGACGCGGAAATACTTGTGACAGATGAGAAATCCGATCTCATACCAACCTCGAATCCACAAATTATCGAAATTTCGGATAGAGCTGATATGCAAGTAAGTGAATTTCATTCCCTGTACATCTCGACTTATCTGCTTTGATTAGGAATCCGATGGCGACGAACAACCAACGAAACCGTGCTCTCTATCTTCTTCCTCGGAAAAAGTTGAATTAGACGATAATGATGACGCATCACGTCAATCATCACGTTATGCACTTTCTGTTGAAAATAATCCTGAACTTCAACAACAACAATTCTATTCACCGACATCTCGCAGCGAAAATCTAAACAACTCAACTGGAACAACTTCATCATCACCAAACCGTACATCGCCCACTTCTTTAGATCGCACCTTAACAGTCGCACTTCACGATCCATCATTTCGAAAACGCTCCTGTCCTATCAACAACGGCTCGGGTGCGTTTCACAACCATCGTCATCAAACCTATTCATTTCCGCGTGCTCCATCACCAAGTTTTCCAGCAAATGACAATGAAGATGCTTTTCGTAGTATATCCTACGTTCAATTAAAACGTGAACAAGATGGTTCACTCGAAGGTATTGCTATTCAAATCGAACAAAGTCATCAAACGAATGGTAAAATTCAACGACGTCGCACATGTATGGAGTCATGTGGTGTACGACGACGTGCAACAATTTTACCACCTCGTTGCCCATCATCAACTCGCGATCGGTCATCAAATGACCAACCCGGACTTTGTTATCGAACCAATTCCACTCCAGCTTCACTTAACTAAAAAATCTTTCGATTTTTTTCTACTTCCTCTCTGTTCTTCAATCAAGCATCAATGTTTGTGAGCATCTCTAATAACACTTTCTAAAACCGATGTTGTTAGTTTAATACAATGGTTTGCTTTCTATACATGTATTCTTTGTTTTTTTTTCTAATCACTAGAAGAAAATTCAATTTGACTCTATACTATCGTTCGAATTCTCGACATACCTCCACATTTAATGTACTTTTTCTCACGGACGATCTTATGTCATATTCCAACATCGAACTTCTCCTTTTTCTCAATGTCTTTAATTAATTTATAACAAAACAATTATATTTTCTTGTCAAATCTATTCGTTATTATAATTTTGATATATTGTTATGTATCAGTTTTTAAATTATATGAATATGATCAATAGTTTTTGATAAGAATAAATGATTTTTTTCTAAAACGGTAACCATACTTGATTGAAGGGCATTGAAAGCGAGTTTCAATCAAAAAGAAATATGTTGTAACTCGATAGGAATTTCGAGAACGAAAATATGTTTACTATCAGCATTGATTTTGCATCAAGATGACAAACAGCATCACTCAATTGTCACTCTCACTCTACTATTTCTTTGTATGGTAATCAACTTTTCGCTGGAAGTGCAACATGAACGTTGAAGGAAGACTTCTGCATCTTTGTTTACGTTATGCTATTGTAGGATTTAATTGCTGGAGATTATTTGTTGATGCTTTGATTGATATATGAGATAAAATTCCTGAGAGAATAATGTAACAATTATCTCCAGTCGTGATCTATGTTTAATTGTTATTACTTGTAATCAACGTGAATGAGAAATTCTATTGAACATCAAGAGATTTAGCTTGTTACAACATGAAATGTTCGTCATGATAAGCTTTTCTCTGATGATAAATAGACCGGAAGTAATGTGTCAATCGAACAATCATATCTTTTTTGTTGTGTGCGTGAATGAAAAAAAGACAAATCTTTTTTTTCTTTCAATCAAACAATAATTCTTCATCATTATTATTATTAAATGAACATATGGAAGATTTGACAATGCTAGAATAATAAGCAACGGATAATAGCTGATTGAAAGATGACAAAAATGATCGTAATTGAGTATTACATCATCAGACATGATTTTTCTCATGATCGATCGAATCAATCGAAGAGAAAATACATTGTCCATCATCAAGTATTAACACTTTTAATCTGATTATAGACGAAAGTTCCTGATGATTTCATTCCATCAATAACTAAACGATTTTTTTCCCTTCGAGTAAATTTCATCAAGTGAAAGTATAAACATCTTCTACGTTTCATGACTATATAAAACGTACTTGAAAGAATAGCACATTTACTGTTTCTTGTTGTAAGTTATTTGGTGAGATTAATCTCACTGCTCATTAATAGAACATCAGAACTCTATGATCGGAAATGAGTTGGCATTGTATTTGTTACAAGTTGAATTCAAGGTTAAAATCCAGATATGTCTTTCTCTTGCATCGACCTTTGTCGAATCCGTGTTAGTTTCAATCAATTTACATAGAAAATATGCAAATCAATTCGAGTTTCAATCCTCTACATATCTGCACGCAGAAGGTGTGCAAGACTTAGTCGGACTACTATCATCAATTATTGACATGCTTATCGTCTGAATGATTGAAGAATACATAAATGTCGATTGAAAAGAAAAAAAGATTTATCAATCTTGGCTTGTAGCAGTTTTGCTTTCTTAGTTAATAAAGATACCTTTTACTTTCTTCCTATTTTCCTTTCGCATTTTCTTTTCTACACATCATACACGCGCGCACTATGCCAGCATCCGTCGGTTTTTTTTACAACAGAACAAAATTTATTGTATGTGAAGGACGTTCGTCGCTTCTCCAAGCCAATACGTGTAGGCATATAGAAAAAACATCCCAGTTTCTTCATCCGTCAGTCGATGTTCTTCAGCGCGGTTGCACACATAAAGAGAGACGCATGCGCACAACGAGGGAGAGCGAGAGAAGAAAAAAATGTCTTTGTTTTTGTTCTTGTGGCTTTGTTGCCACTACGAGCTCTTCAGATGCTATTTGACAAATAGGATGATATACAGACAAGAATTGTCTAGTTTAGTGTCTTTGATGACGGAAATCGCTCATGTTGTAGGTTTTTATAGGAGAATTAATTGGTAAGTTAATAAATGAGAGCGTATCTCATCTAGTTTTGTCCTTCTAAGTGGGAGAATTTGAAAAACAATTTGTTGTTTTCAATGAGGCAATAGACGAGAAAGAAGACGAATTATTTTATCGGTTGAGTCAGTGTTATGACATATATTTACAAATGTATTTTCTATGTAGATACGCGTGTCTGTACATCCCAAAGTATTATTATTATTATTTGTCTTCGTTGATTTCCGTATGTCGACAAAAGTATCTAGAGATCGATCAACAGATGCATCAATGAAAACAGACTACTATAAATAACTAACTATTTTTCATGAATAAGCGTTTGTTTTCGACCGGAGGACAAAATTGTTTCTTTTTCCACTACGTATTTAATAGAACGAATTCAGGTGCATTTTACGCTATTATACGATTTGCATGATAGATACTATTGGCAAACCATTTAATTTCTGTCATACGACCTTTTCCTTTAGTAACATATATGTAAGGCGTATATGAAAAAGAACAGAATGTTGTATTTGCAATCCTTCATGTCGAGGTGATGTAATAGCCATCAGCATCATACTACATCTGACACATAAATTAGTCAATTTCTTTTCCCAAAATCTCATCAGAAGTACAAGTGAGAGAGGGAATGATAGTGACAGTAAAAGCAACACTCATTTATATATAGCTGTATGTGTGTGTGTGTATGAATGCATGTGTAATGGTGTCTCGTGTCGCAGAATATTATATTTATTGACGAATGCCTAAATAGCGTCCGTCCTTGATTTGCAACTGTGTTATTCTTTTCCTGCTGGTGCGTGTGCCAGTGCGTTCTTATACAGTGTCTTAGACACACAGTAAGATACCTCATCCTATCTAATATTTCTTGTATAGTATCTGTGATTATCAGAAGGGTATGTCTATTATACTAAGAGAGTGCGCTTGATCTTTCGTCAAAGAAATAAAGGAAGGGCATTATTGCGGATGTTCTTCATTTGAAGAGATTAATTCATCTGTTGACATGACAAGCGTTAAATTCCTTGTTTTAAATCATAGGCATACAAGACCCACCAGTTATTTGTGTATCGATAAGTCTAGAATGGAAACTACTGACGAATAGTATTTGATTTCAATCTTGTTCATATGATTGCACAAGTGTTCGTTAGCCTTTCGTATGATGGTGAGAATTGAGTGAAACTCGATCAACTTAGGATCAGTCCATTTTGTACTCGTTGCCAATATTTGCCACAAGTAAACTATTCACACATATTAGACGTGATAGAGAGAGAGAGAGCGCAACCGGCGCTTATTTTCTTGTTCTTTTCTATTCTCATGCACATTCTCTTCTTTTCTTACGTTGATCCATCGATTTTTTGGATGCTATTTTGCCACAGTTCATTACATGAGGAACCAGTCGTGTTATGTTCGTCTGCATGGCATACGGAACATGAGTATTTAATGGTGTCATTGAAGGTTGTCTGACTACTATGGAAGGTAATACATTTCTCTATTACTTTAGATATAAAAAGAAAGGAAGCAAAATGTATAACTATGAGAACTTACCATCGGAATGGTTTTCATCACGTAAACGACCGCGTTCGTATCATTATCTGCCACCAATGTCTCGACCTGTTTCCAAAAGTTTCAATCGAATATCGGACTTTATCTTTCCCGATACCGTTCATATTCGTCTTCAGCAGCAGCAACAGCAGCAACAACCTTTCTATCGAAGATATCAGCGGACGGAAAACTACAGTTTGCCCGTCTTAAATCATCGAAACCGTAACCAGCATGATTTGATTGTTGTCGAACGTTTACCATTCGAAGAACTTGATAATGTCGACTTTCTCTATCGAGAACAATATCAAAAACAACAGCAACAACAAACATGTCAACCAGTTCGACCTGTTCGACGTCGTTATACATCTATTACAAATGATCAACGTGCAAATTTCAACGATAGAATGATCTCAGGTTTACCGTCTCGATCCGATGCTCATCGAGAGCGTGTACGTGATCGACGGAAACGTCATACAACCGATAATGCTTATCATTCAATGATGAAATCAATGCTGGAAGAAGAAGAAGCTCAATATTTGAATGAAGAAATAGGCGATCCTAATTATATTATTTCATACACCACTACACTAGATCCCATTACTGATTCGGAATCAATCAATTCTGTGCAACAGCAGCAACAAAACAATAATATTTCATTAGAAGAATGGAAAAGACAATCGCATGGTCGTGTACCAGTCAACGGTACTGTACCTATTATAATTGATCGAGAACGTCAACGGCAACGACAACATAGTTCATCATTAAGTAGCCGAGATTCATCAAGTGACACAGACATCACTGAGCGACATCCGACTACAACGAATTTTATTCAATATCAACAAGATACTACCGTAAGAAATACTTTTCTCCTCCATATATTCGACTATTAATATCATCTGTGTATATATTTTGTGTCTAGTTCATCACGCCATCAACAGAGCTTCCGGGTGTATCAACTTCTCGTCCAGCCGTGTGGGAACAACTTCGGTCTGAGCCTGTTCGTCTTCGCCATCAACCTGACATATTCATTCCCATTCAAGCAGTAACTGAAGCAGACAGAAACAATCAGGAAACATCGTCCTATACGAATAATCGGATCACTACAACGCCATTTGATAATGTTACCGATTATCAGATAAACAATAAAACATCATCTCAACTAGTCGATAAATCAACACATCATGTTTCTTTATGTGTAAATGATTTACACACAACTCTGTTTATAGAAGAAGACGCTCTCAACAATACCAAGACGACGACAAATAGTAATAATAGCAGTAGCAAAGGTATCGACTCGAAGGAAAACTGCCTGTAGAAATTAATTAGAAAGTTTCGACATATTTACGCAGTAGACAAGAAAGACAAACAACTAATTTGTTTTTTTTTCTCTTCTTCTCTTCTGTTTAGTAATCATAAAAACATTTATCGATCGAATTATCAAACGTTTACAACATTTCAAACGATCACTCGATGCTGGACTAAGTACGTGTTATTCTATTTGTTCCTTGAACTTTCAACAAAATGACAATTTCAATTACGCTAATTCTTCCTTCTACTTGCTAGTTCACGTCCGGAAAAGAAATACATTAGTCAATGGTCCTATTGTTAATGTTGAATATCATCCACAAAGCGAAATCTCTCGACGAAAGAATGAATCAGATCAGTCTAGTGATTGTATTCCTAAACAGCAACATCCTCTTCGTTCACCATCATTTGATACAAGTGAAGAAACTAAACACGTTCGACCATATTTTTTAATTAGACCACAAACAGTTCTTGTGTTACCCAATGAAATCGGTATATGATTAAAGAAGAACGTTTAAAGTCAATTAAAAACATGTGTTTCTCTCATTTAGCGAAGTTCAAATGTTGTTTTGGTGGTGATCCACTTCCGACACTTGTCTGGTCTCATAATGATTCGCGTGTGTCAGAACTCATAGCCACGGGCGGTGCAACAGCATCACAATATCGTGTACATAAACTTCATGATATACATTACTTGGATATTGGACCTGTCAATGTTCGGGATAGTGGTCAATTAAAATGTATACTGATGAATCGTTACGGTCGAGAAGAAGCTGTGGTTCATTTGATTGTTGCTCGTAAGAAAAAAAAGCAAACTACAATCGTACAGAGAACCTCTCTTTTTCTCTTCTTTGTTAAGCGTCAGCAGCAGATGCGACACCTTCGATTCCTCAGCCATTGAGTGATATCACAATAATCGAAAGTCGACCTTTGAAACTGTCATGTGGTATCGTTGGCTGTCAAGTAACGGTGAACTGGTATCATAATGGCAAAGTATAATCCTATATTGTCATTTGATTTTGTATTTTGAAAGTTATATCGTTTAGTTAATATCACCAATGACGCAATCAAAAACGGATTATAATGGTGAAAATGCCATTTTTTCCCTTTCGAGAGTAAGAATGGAAATGTGAGATGCAATTGTCTCGAATTGAGTTTGTTTAGTGTATGAGAACGGATGCTGGTACAGTTGATTGTGTTGTTAAAAATCGTTTTGGTGAAGTAAGAACAAGTTGCCGTATCGAAGTGGTCAATGATCCTGAATTTGACCGGTGAATAACGATGTTTTCTCATCAGATTTTATGAAGATCGCTTTCTTCATGTTTTTTTTTATCTCGCAAAGAAATACTATTTACTCATTTCCTCACTATGTATCTCAAACAATGTCTTTTCTTTTGTGTCTATTTTCCTACTAGTCTCATTATGTTGATTAGAATCTTTTCTTTCTTTTTTTTCTTATTGTTGTTGTTGTATTGTAGCATTCTAGTGCTTTCTCATTGTCAATGTGAATGGATGAATGAATTTCGAGAATTAACAAAAGGAAGAGAGAAACAAAAAGAGAATCAACAATTAAAGATAATTACTCGACTTCGAAGAATTTCAACTTTCGCACTTTTTCCATCAAGAATAGAATTGATTTAGTATATGTGAATAATAAGATTTAATCTGAAGTTAAACTTGATAATCAATTTCCCAGATTGCAATTGTCAATAGTACCCATTGTACAATCAATGTTTAACACAATTTTCTATTGTATTGATATAAGAGGATGGAAAATCGATAATTCATCCTTGTCTGCGGAATATCAGACAAGTTAAGTAGAATAAGCTCATCTGTTGGATGAAGCGGTTTTGTCTAGCATTCCTAATATTTTATGACATCATCGTATTTGAAGGTCATGTGCTGTGCGTGCTCGTATATAACATCGATAAGTAGATGCTTTATCTCTTGATCTTATCGTGTATTGAGTCATGATAATCGAAATCCAGGATTATGGGGAATCTTTAAAGGAAGAGAAATATTTCTTTTTGTTGACGTATTTGGGAGAAGTTTTTAATATAGAATGTATGTAGTCTGAGTATTTAAGCGATTTTATTGATCTAGCCGAGCGAAAAATGGGAATGCATTAAACTTTAGTGATGATTTGCTTTGAAAATAAAGGTAGGAACAAAGTTTTTGGTTATCTCGGGAAAAAAAACAGATTGAAAGTATTCAGTTCGGTAGGTTTCTTTTAATCAGAACCCTTGATATGCTTATTCATCTTGGTGATAAGTCAAGTGTTTTGTTTATTTTTAAGCAACAAGATGATAAGCAATCTCTATTGTTTATCATGTGATATATGGAAATTTACGCGATAGAAAGATGACAATACTCGTTTATTAAAGTTCTAAATTTGCATCTGCTATCACTTACACAAAACGTAGACCATAGTCCGCGAAATGTTAAGTTTCGCATCGGCTGACGCCCTTATGTGCCCGGGCTTTTTCAAATAATTAGTATTTCGCTACGCAGAAAAAATCCTGTTCGATCGTCCAATCAAAGAATATTTCATTTCGCAATATATCGTGAGTCATAACTGAAGACAAGTTCGGTGAAACCAGATGTACACTACGGAGAAAAGGCAGCCCATTTCACATTTAGTTTGCCCCATGCGTCATGAAACAAATTATGGATAAGGGTTATTTTCTTTGCAGGGATCGAAATGCATCACTAGAGAATGCAATTGTGTCTGTACGAGTATGATTTCACCGAAGCACATTCGTGTAGACCGGATTGTATGACCAATAGGAAGGTTATGTTCGATACTGATTAAAATTTTCCAGATATTTCGCGCTTAGACAACTGTTTTAGTTCGAGAACTTCACGTAGAACAAAGTATTTTTATTGTGTACCCAAGGGGACGTTGCCATTTGTATATATTTCTCCGTCTATTATTTAAAATGCTGATACCATGGCATCATCTATTTCAGTAGACAGCAAGCGTCATAACTAATTATCATATATAGACTATGTTTAGCAAAGGTAGCCAGATGCGGTGGTTCGATTTGGAAGAACAATACAAGTCTAGCGTTGTCATGATGCGTTGATGTTTTTCTTTCCCTGTGAAAAAATAAGTTCTCATCAACTAGCACTTAAACTCTGCTGTTTCTTAGCAACCTGTGAGTCAAGAGTATTTTGGTCGAGAACAGAATTCCATGTCTGCTCGATTTTCTGTTGCAAAGCGCCACCTACTCAAATCAGCGTGTTCTCGAATGCACACGCACAATGCGTCATTTCTGTTACATATCATTAGTTCATCAAACTTCCAATGATAAATTGAGAAAGAAAAACAAAAAAAAACATTACAGATAGATTGACATAACATTGATTACTAATTGTAGATTAGCTAACTAAAAGATCGAAAAACGATTGAATCATACAAACATTTCCTATTTACCTTTTTCTTGTATATGATATATTTCAACGGTCTGTTTTACAAAAAAAGAATAACCTATAAACTGTGTTACATTGCATTGATGTAAATTTGAAGAAGACGGTCGTGTAGTTTCAATTTCAATATTGTTTTGGTGTCTTGACAGGTATGATATTTCTACATTTTCAATTTTTTTTTCTTCAGTTTTGTTACAATCGATTTCACTCTAATCCCGGTCACATGCTGTTTTTTGTTTGACATGAGTAATAATACACCAATGATTGCCTGCGAGATTTTTATCTCATTCTTTCTTGTACAATTTTGGTAATGGAAAAATCATTAGTTGTCAGGTGTGAGGTATGTGAAAAATCAGCAAAATGCATTACCAAAAACAAAAGTAATTAGAGTAAATGACGACATCGATGTATTCGATTTCGTTGACTGAAAGATTAATATTGACATATAAAAGAAAGTGGTAAACTGACGAAAGAATGGCAGTTTCCTTGACGAACAATCTTTAACCTTATGACACATAAACGAATTTCAACTATTTTTTCTCTTTCGGATCATAACGAGTCATGCGCAAATACTGATAAGATCTTTCTCTTTTATCATACTCACCTTTCTTTTATACTAAAGTATTTCGAATTCAGTTTTTAGATTGCTTTGCAATGATTTTGTCAATCGTTTATATAAAAATCCTATAAACACATGGCCTGTCTCAGCGAATGTCGATTCCTGAATCGAGCATTAACAATTGACGATATATCCAAGAAGCCCCATTGTAAGAATCTGAAATTCAAACGTGCGTTCCAGTTTCTTCAGTTGCTGTTACTACAACGTGTCTATTGCATTGATGTCATGTCATGTACAAAATTTCGGCGGCCAATGAAACTTTGTCAACAACGACGAGAAGAAGATCATAACTATGAGGTATTTCTAGGTGGCTCATGTAATCCAACAACGTGGCGGCATGATCAGGCAATACCATACTTTCAATCTCGGTCCGTATCGTTTTATAATCCGCAAGTGTCCGAGTGGACACCCGAACTTGTTGAAATTGAGCATCGCGCAAAAGAATTAGCGCCGCTATTGTTCTTCGTTATCGATTATGATACGAGGGCGTTAGCATCTATTATTGAGGTATCGTATCTAGCTGCGCGCGGGCGAAGTATAATTGTTGTTATGACTCCTATGCCGGAGAGAAAGTATACGAAATTCATTCAAGAAAAAAACAGTGCCAACGAAAAAGACGATGAAGATGATTATGAAAATGCGTATGAAGGTCGAAGAACATTACGAACATTGTTACGAAGTTTGAATATTCCATTCTTTGATAACGTACAATTAGCTCTTGAATGCGCTGCTTTCATACTTGAGTCAACTAAACGAACAGTATATACTCAGAGTGTTTTTAATGAAAACAATGAAGAGGATGGCAATGAACGAGGTAACCAATCTCATCTGATCTTATTTGAAATGAATGTATTCTTCTGCTTTTAGATGTCCTAACGCCTTTGCCCATGTCACCCGGTGAATATGATGATAAAAGACCGTCATCCGTAGTTGTCATTCGTTCCCTCTCGAATAAAACATCGTTCGATTCACCCGATGAATTCTATAAGCAAATGCATCAATCAGAAATGATGACATCGATGTCACCGTTCCGTCGACGACGCAGTTCAACTCCAGAGCCAAGTATTATTCAAATCTGATTCTTTGCTTTGTCCAATTAATATTCTTGTTTCAACTATTCATTAGATATGACGCAATTTCGATCAACAACTGCTTGTACAAAATCCCAAATATCATGTTCAACAAATGAAAGTGATGATGATGGGTATGGCTCACTTTCATCAAGTAATCGCACACTCTCTTCATCATCGCTGTCCGTTTCTTCGGAATTATTCGAAGCTACAAGCGATCAACAGCGTGAAGATAATGTTACAGGGCAAGTCTATTTCTCCACAATGATAAACGATATATGAGCAAATGTTTTCTATTAGATCTGATAAAAACGTATCGAACTCCACAATTAACAATTTGATTTCAAGATTTTATTCTTATATTCCATTTGTGGGTTCAGCCCAACCATCAGATTCATCAGTAACACAATCGCTCTTCGTATTATTTACTCTTCCATTTCGTTTTATCAAACAATCATTGCTTTCTCCTACTTCATCAACACCATCCATCTCCTCATTTCCAACATTCACACAAACAACTCCCTCGAGTCCATCTCCATGCCATGCTTTGTTTCAACCACCTACGCATATGTTTGATCTTTACATAGCATCAGGTACTAGTGATGAATGTTGGTTGAACACTTTTGCTCTTCCAATGCTGGAGCAAATCAATGTAACATTCATCAAACGACAATCATGTCATGAAAACGATCAAACCGACGCACTTGATGACATACATATACGTAAACAATCACGTGTTTTGTTCTATATGATTAATGGCCGTGAACGTTTGTCACCTTTAACCAGTGAACTAGCATTTCACATCGGTCAACGTAAACATAAGATCGTAGTTTATCTGCTACCAAATATCGATGACGATGCTGACCAGATTTGTTCGGCAACTGAACGCCGAGATATTCAACGTTCAAGAAAATATCTCGAAGACTTAGTTCGAAAAGAGAACATCACATTATGCCATTCCCGAGAGCAGAGCTGGGAGCATGTTTTAGCGCTTTTCAAGATATAATCGATCATCGATATAAAAAAAATGTTTTTCTTTTCATTGATTTCGTTTTTCTCTTCTTGATTGTTATTATTCTTCTTCGAATTAGCATTCATCCTTGTAATGATGATCAGTTTTTCAGTATCATCATATGATTTGCACGGTGTTTGTTAACTGAAAAACCTTTCCTATCAACGAATGTCTGGACAATGAGCAGAACAAAACTTCATTTATCTTAGTCACGACTTTTGATTCTTAAGAAACTACAGCAAAAAATATATTTTTCTAAAAATACATTTGCGTGCATGTATGTCTGTGTAACTTCTGCTTATTTTTTCTATTAAAATTAAATGATTCTATAAAAACCCAAAAAAAAAATCATTCCTTGCAAGACTCATTCTTTTCGTAGATCTACGTACGTTTGACAAAGTTTGTTCTTGTTTTTCTTTTGCATTGCATATTCTCTTTTGTAGATTTGCTGCCAGACGTCAGATAGAAGTGAAAGAAAAATAAAACACATTGATAGAAAGAAAAAAAAATGCTCTGTCTGTGTCAATACAGAAGTATGTATAATGGAATTAAAAAACGTTTTACCTGCCTCATTAATATTCAGATAACTGATTGATTAGTATGACATTCGCTGTTAGTTCGAATGATTATCATTCAGCATTAACAACGGTAATGTCCGGTGAACAACAAGTGACGAGCTTGGATCATGCGGCAAGGACAGTGTCGAAAATATCATCGTACCTTCGACAAGGATTCTTGTGTGATGTGGTTTTTATTTGCGGACACGGACAAGTTAAACAACGAATTAGTGCGCATCGACTCGTAGTCGCAACTCTATCTGATTATTTTCGAGCGATGTTTGAGAGTAATATGCTTGAAACAAAACAACGTGAAATCATGATTAATGATATTGATCCGGATGCATTAGAGAAATTAATTTTATATGCATATGAAGGTAAACGAATGTTCTCTCGTCTGTTTTACTGGAAATACTTTTTTGGCAGGTCGTCTGGAACTTCATCAGGATAATGTTACCAATATTCTCGTTGCTGCACATATGTTTAATATTACTGAAATTATCGATGCTTGTTGCAAATATATCGAAAAACAACTTCACCCGTCGAATTGCCTTGGAATTTATAAATTCGCTCTTCAACATGATTTACACGACTTGACTCAAACTGCTTGGAATTATGTTTTAGTATGATGAAGAAATCATTTGATTCGTCAAAGTTTTTTCTTGGAATTTTTTAAGGAACATTTCACAAATGTTATTCAAAATAACCATGAATTTCTGGAGTTGTCGTTCGATGAAATGAAACAAATTTTAGCATCAGGTGAGTTCCATCATAAAATCAAACGACCTCTCAGACTCTACCTCCCTTGGCTTTAAGCAATATGAGCAAGTAATCCTGACTGTTGGGCAAACTTTATTGAAATTCGATCTTTTTCTTAATGATCAAATATTTGAATAATAAACAAAGTTTTTCTATCGTTCATTAGGTGATATCAATGTGCAATCAGAAGAAACTGTATTCGAAGCATTCCTTTCTTGGATTGATCACGATTCGAAACGGCAAAACGATCGACTGCCACAACTCTTTGGTTTAATTCGATTGCCATTAATTGATAAAAAAGTAAACTTGTTACTAAGAAGATCTTTTCCGACAAAATCGAATGATATTTTCGTTTTTCTATTGATTTAGTATTTAACAGATCATATTGATACAGATTCACGATTTAAAAATGATACTTCATGTCAGATGTTGATTATTGAAACAATGCGTTACCATTTAGCGCCAGAAAAACGATCGAGTATGCAATCGATACGAACAAAACCGAGAAAAGCAACATTAGGTGCTCTCTATTGTCTTGGCGGAATGGACAGTGCGAAAGGTATTGAATGTATTTAAACGCACATTTTAAATTTATTTGAAACAATCGATTGTTTTCTGAAATTAGGTCCACAAACGATTGAACGATATGATTTTCGAACACGTTCGTGGCAGCCAAATGGTACTTTGAATACACGTCGTTGGCAATTTGCGTGTGTCATTTTAGAGAAAAAGCTATACGTATGTGGAGGACGCGACGGATTGAAAACGTTAGTGTATCTGAAAAAATATCTGGAAACATGTCAACGCTATTCCTTTATAGATTAAATAGTATAGAAATATTTGATTTTCAAAAGAAAGTTTGGAACATTGGACAACCAATGTTAACCAACCGACACGGATTAGGCGTTGGATGTATTGGTGGTCCATTGTATGCAATTGGTGGCCATGATGGTTGGAGCTTTCTCAATACAGTAGAACGTTTTGATCCAGAAACATGTGTTTGGTCATATGTTGCACCGATGACTAATGCTCGATGTACACTTGGTGTTGCTGTTCTTGAAAATCGGTAAGAGATCGATTTGAATGATGATAAACTAATGATTACTATTGATATTTTAGCATATATGCAGTGGGCGGTCGAGATGGTGCTGCAGGTCTGCGAGAAACTGAATCATACGATCCGCATACGAATCGTTGGTCATCATGTGCACCAATGCAGAAACGTCGTGGGGGTGTAGCTGTAGCAGCTTGTAACGGATTTTTATTTGCGATTGGCGGTCATGAATCATCTGCAACAAATAAATGTGCTGTGAGACACGACGACGGGGAACGTTATGATCCAAGATGCGATCAATGGACATTAATTACGTCGTTGACTCGTCCAAAAGAAGCTCTAGCAATTGCTGCTGTTGGTGATAAATTATATATTGTTGGTGGATTTGATGGAAAAGTACTTGATGAAGTCGAAAAATACGAACCAGTAACAGATAAATGGACTAAAGTAAGCAGATTCATTTGCGAAGTAAAAAGCAACGAAATCATTGTTTTCTACATTCTAGTGTTCACCATTAGGAACTAAGAGAGCTGGTGCTTGTCTGATTCATGTTCCGAATTATATTTATCAATCATCATTACCAACATCCCCATCGTCATTATCTTCATTAACTACAAGTTCTTACACATTACCATCATCACCATCTTTAACTAAACGAAATAAAGATGTATCAGCTAGTTGTCACCAATTGAGTCGTCTTGTTTTTTCTTAGAAGATTTCTACCGGCTCAACTTATTCGTCCTTCTCTTTTTCTATTTAACATGTCGTGATTTCTATTTGATAGACAGGGATCTAATCTTCTCTTCCTGTTTTTTATAAACTCACTTATATCTCTCCAAGACTATCACATTTCTTTTTATACATCATATCATTTCTACACATGTGAACTGACTATCATAGATTATTGTTCTTTTTTTAATATAAATTAGTGCTAATCAATCTAATTTAGATATTTGTTTGAATATAACAATGATCTTTATCTTTTTTTTTTCTTATCTTAGATCGTATGACAGAATCGATTGCCCCACCTGATACAGGCGTTTTTACAGATCAAGAACGACCGAAACGAATTTTTAAGATTATTGTTATCGGTGATTCGCATGTTGGTACGATGTGTACGGAATACATAGCATCTATTTTGATTGATTTCTTTTTAGGAAAGACATGTTTAACATATAGGTTTTGTTCGGGAAAGTTTCCGGAAAAAAGTGAAGCGACTATTGGTAAGATTGAATTGAAACTAATCGTATCTTATTCGTAATGTTTATTTATAGGTGTAGATTTTCGTGAAAAAACACTCGACATTGATGGTGAAATATTCAAAGTACGTGTCTTGTGATTAAATATACTTAACTAGAATTTCTCTTCCTCAGCTTCAAATTTGGGATACAGCTGGACAAGGTATGTTGTGTCAAATCTGTAAATAAACATCTCAAAATAATTTTTCTAGAACGTTTTCGTCGTTCGATGATCAATCATTACTATAGAAACGTTCACGCAATTGTTTATGTCTATGATGTAACCAATCTAGCTTCGTTCGAAAATCTTCCTGGATGGATCAATGAATGTGATAAACATGTTCTCGATCAAGATCTACCACGTGTTCTTGTTGGCAATAAATGTGACGTGTCCAATGATCAAATTGTTGTTCCAAATTCTGTAGCACAACGATTTGCTGTCAGTGAACATTTCTCTCCTATTCTTAACTAAACATTTCAATTCGTTTTACCATTTTAGGACGCACACAATATCCCATTATTTGAGACGTCAGCGAAAGCCGATGAACATCAAGATCATGTCAATTCAATATTCATGTTACTTGCACATAAACTCAAACATTCAAAACCACTGATGTCTCAACCGAAACTCTACGCACACCGTGATATTTCAGTATCATCACCGACAACAGCAAATGAACCTGGCTATTGCTCATGCTAAGATCTCAACTTCCTTATTTATTAAGCGTTTAAACAAATCATAAAACTTACACGCACATTTTAGCAGCTATATCCCTTCTTCTTCTCTATTATTTTCTTCTTATATTTATATTTATATATATATATAGATATGTAATAATAACGTTCTTTTTCTATGGCATTCCCAGTATTTATTTTTCTTTTAATCTTCAATTTTTGCTTCTGTTCTTCTTACTATGGCTAATTATAAGCTTCTTTTTATGTTGAATTGCTTACGATATGCGAAACGTTTTTGCCATGAATCAGTCAAATTTCAGTTTAAATTCTGTTCATTCACCAAAATGACAGACAAAGTAAATATAAATATATTCAGACATGAAAGAGAGGGCTCTAAATGAACAAACCGTTCACCAAATATATCTTTCAAAATAAAAATCCAACTTTTGAATCATTTGACAACTAATCGCGTTTCTTCACCTTGTGGCAAAGCTGACTGACGATCAGAGAACCAACAGGTCATATACAAAAATGCATCAATCAAATAAACAATATCACCAACGATAACGATAATTTGTGTAACGGGCACAAGTGTGAGAAATGCAGCCAAGAGATATAATAAAGAACCCAACAAATTCAGAATATTTGCCAACGAATAGAACATACTGCTTCCACGAACCATCATGTTAACTACAGCTCCAATGACAAATGCACCGACACCAACTGTGTTACATGTCCACACCGTTTTCGAATCTGTAAAAGCAGTTGCCGCCAATAACGCACCAAGAAAATAAGCATCACTGCCGATCTTATCAAAGACACACGATAAAACCATGATGTAATATCGATGAGTACTACTATGAACATGATAAAGTGAAAGCATTTGAAAGAAAGCATTGAAAACAAAGATAGCTGCAAGAATAACATAAATAGCAAATGTTAATGTTGAGTTGATTAGATTTGGACGCATGTAATCAAGTCCGTCCATCAATAAATAGCCAATCATACCAATTATAAATATAAAATTAGCCCAAAATGACCAAAAAAGTGCGCGAGTGCGGAAAAAGCTGCCCTCCATGTCCGATTATCTGATGGCAATGATTTAATGATTTCTTTCTTTCGTTTTCCATACAAAAACACGGTCACAGCTGGTGACACACTTAGATACCATTATCAAAAGCCTAACTATTCTTTTATTTCTATTGTATTATTATACATCAGCAGCCATAAAATAATATTTCCATTATTTCAAGCGAACTTCATTAACTGAGTGGTTTATGAATCACTTTTGTTTCGTTGGACAAAACTTGGCGACGAAAGGTATAGTTCAGAGGTTGTGGGTACTTAAAAGTTAAATATACGAATAAATTCTCACAATCAGATTTTAGAACAATACAACAAAACAAACGGACGAGTTACAACAGAATGTCGATAAATATAAACTAAATTTGGATTGATCGAATAAATTCATTGATGTAACCGATCACACAAATCTGATCTTCTTCATTGGCAACGCGATGATCAGATTTGTTCCGTAAGATAACTATTGAATTACGTTTATTTGTCACTTTGTTTTTGATAAAACTTTCTACTTCTCTTTTCATTTCAGCTGGAACATATTCATCTTCATTTGACCATATCATCATGTATTTTCTTCATTTCTTCTTTCGATAAGCCACCTGAAGAATGATTCCGTTAATCAATGCGTGTTTGTTACCATTCGATAAATACTCGATAATAATTCGATAACCAGTAGAATGACCCATGAGAACAATCGACATCATATTGAATCGAACGGCATCTGCATGGAAAATTTGATGAACGGAACAATAGTCGGATCAATGAACACGACATATTCAGAAGCGATTCGCGAAGTCGTGGAAGAGCTAGAACAGATAAAATACCATTCGTAGGTGCACCACGAAAAATAACACATTGTGTTGTTTCCAGTGACACACACGATTCAAATGCAACTAGTTCGCGCTTTGTGTCATAAATGTATACATTGCCATATATCTACGAAATACAAACAAAAAATGATATGTTTACTAAATCGAGAAAGTTGCACATCACGTGTGAATCGAAGTTACTTCGAAATAACAAAACTTCAATATCTATCTGCATTCCTCGAGATGGATCATTATCATATGGTGAATAGCTAAGTAAAGGTGTTAATAACGATAGTTTAGAACGATTACATTTTTTTGTTATTGACTCAATGATCTTTTTTCCAATAAACGAAAATGAGAACTATGATAGTAGAACATCAAACTCGGGATTTCCATAGGATTTGAATGTAGCAAGTTTATAAGTTATCAAATGATCAAGATATCACTTACCTATATCTAGATTTAATCTTTAAGGCAATTAAAACCCATTCAAAAAATTTATTCGTATAACATTTGTGGTGAACAGTGACATCTGTACGTCTAAAAACTTATTTTCAAGTTGGTCTCATTGGTTTCTTAGTTCATTTCAACAATAATCTTTATATTAATTTTCCCAATTTCTTCTACAAATTCATTTATTCACTTTTGCATACTTTTTTTCTTTGTCTTTAGCAAGAAACTAAAGATATATACGGTCTGAGATTTGTTTTTTTCCCCTTAAAGAATGACTTCTGCACCATCCGATGTTCCTGACGCTCACACATTTTACAATAATCCGCAACAGCAAGGCTTAAAGGAACGTGATGAAAGTAGAATTTTGTATATGCGCAATTTCAACAATTGGATCAAAAGTACATTAATAAGTAAGTACCATGTTGCACATTTTCTCGTGTCATTTCGCCATGATTTGCATCCTAGATGAATATTTACAACGACTTAAAAATGAACAACCGGAACGGAGTAATGAAATACACGTATTTGATATGGGTTGCGGTAAAGGTATGAATACTGAACCGATCTGAAATGGTTCTTATCAGTTTATTCTAGGTGGAGATCAATTAAAATGGCAAAGTGCTCGTGTACGTTTCGTTACTTTTGCTGGTCAGTAGGATCCTCAAATGATCTCGATATGACTATGTTTAGTTATTCATCTATAGATCTGACTGAGAACTCAGTTGAAGTTTGTAAACAGCGTTACAACGAAAGAAAGAACCATAGCAGTTATAAAGCAGATTTCTATACATTGGATTGTACTAAAGTGAGTTTACGATTTGATTCCATTTGTTATATGTGATTATGTATAACCTATTAGGAACTGATCCAAGAAAAACTGGGAAGTAGTAAACCATGTTTCGATCTCGTTAGTAGTCAATTTGTTCTTCATTATTCATTCGATAAAATCGAATCAGCTGATCGATTTTTACGCAATGCTGCTGAATTATTACGTGTAGGAGGATATTTCATTGGCACAACGGTGAATTCATGTCAGTTAGTGTATGTTTTCTTGTTTCCATATAACAAATACTGAGAGAACCTTTTTTCAGTCAACAATGTCGTGCCGCGGAGAGTCAACAAATTTCCAACGATGTATACAGTATACATTTTGATCCTTCTGTCGATCTGAGTGAAAAAACTGGTGAAGGTATTCCTTTGTTTGGTGCAAAATATCACTTCAATCTTCATCAAGTTGTTGATTGTCCTGAATATCTTGTTTACTTCCCTTTACTCGAAAAGTAAACTCAAACTATTTCACTCATCCTATACAAATATTTTCAATAGATTGGCACATAAACATGGTTTAGAACTAGTTGATCGCCAGACGTTCAAAGATTATTTTGACAATAACAAATATTCTGGAGAAGCTCGTAACCTGCTTGCAAGAATGAAAGCTTTAGAAGTATGTATTGTTTGTAACTAAGAAGTTATTACGAAGAAATATGGATAATTTAGTACTATGAACTTCCATCAGACAGGCCGGATAATAACCGAGGACTGCCAATTAATCATAATCAATACAGACATGCTGCGAAGTATATCAACGAAAGAAATAGAGAAAATCGACATCCTATTCGATCTTGCGTATGTGTTCTCTATTTCTTTTTATTTTTACTTCATTTTCTACTATTTCAGCGAACTCTATCTGAACAAGAGTGGGAAATTACAAGTAAGATCAGATTCTTTTTCGAACATAAGTAATTTTGTCATGTAATAATTGTGTTTTAGGACTTTACATCATATTTGCCTTCAAAAAGACACGTTATATCAAATATGACGATGACAAACTTCCAAGTCAATAACTAACTTATATTTTTTGTATACAGATCAGATGTAGTCGCGAATATTTTTGTTCATTGTTAAACTTATAACTTTTCTGTTAATGTCAAAAATAGAAATCAAATGTACAAAGCTAAAATATAATCCATCTATCGTCTAGCTCACCGAATCTTCTAGAATATATACAAAAGAAAGTGAACAATCCATAAGAATGATGTCGCACTTAGACATTTATATATCGAAATCTTGTTTTTTTGTCTAATTCTTTCTCGTCTAGTCTTTCTTCTCTTTCTATTTATATAAGTACATGTTTTCTTCAGTTGAAAGACAGAACAATGAAAGGTGAATCTCGTATAACCACAACACCTGTTACAGCGAAAAATATTCGTCATCGATCAATATCACCAGCTAGTGCAGCTCCAACTCGGAATAAGAAGAGCACTGTTTCAACGAAAACAACAACTGCGAATCGAAAAACAGTTAAAAGTGATGATGGTTCGTTTCTTTATTTGTCATTCTCTTAATCAATAGATTGAAATTGATTTTCAGCTCAACCGTCACGTTCAAAATCATCGGTGACTCGTTCGACGCGTCTGCCAAATCTAACACGTCGAACGATTCGTCGACAAACCACTTATTTATCTGTACCATCTCTTGTGAATGGTAATCCAAAAGGTGGTCAAGTCTTAGCTGTTGGTGAAAACGGCATGACACAATTAGGTCTTAAAAGTTCCATTGATCAACGAAAAAATCCTCAACCTGTACTTATTCCTGAACCGATTGTACAAATCGCTGCCGGTCCTTTACATTCTGTTTGTCTCACAAATCAAAATAACATTTACACATTCGGTTGTAACGATGAACATGCTTTGGGTCGACCAGATAATAATGATGATGATGACGATGAAGATAGTGATCCATTCGGAGAAGTTGATTTAAATAAAATCATGAATTCTGAAGAGGAACATATTGTGCAAATCGTTGCCGGTGATAGTCATACAATTGTCTTGTCAAATCTTGGTAAAGTTTATGGTAGGATTTATCGACTTTCTTGTAAATGACATGTACTATTTCATATTGTTTTTCGAATGTTTCACGCTGGGGCACATTTCGTTCGAGTACAAACGGCATCTATGGACTTGTGCGTAAGAAGAAAATGGCAAAGAAACCAGTAGAAATCTCCTTACCAGAGAAGATCGTCAAATTAGCTAGCGGAAATGATTTTGTTCTGTTTCTCAGTGAAACAGGTCAAGTTTATTCATGTGGTAACGGAGAAACGGGTCAGTTGGGACGACTTAGTCGTTATGCATCAGAAGATGGTCGTCGAGGAGGCATTGGTATGATATTTAACATCTAAGAAAATTATTTCACTACTAATCAAATCTTCTATTGGCAAATTTAGATCGATTGATAACACCAGCACCTATTCTTTACAATCGATCGTCGATTAAGGAGAAGAATTTAACATTCGAAGACATTTTCACTGGTGCTCATCATTATTTTTTGAAAGTACGCGATCAACCTTATATACTTGCTGGTGGTTTAAATAATTTTCATCAAATTGGTAAAATTCATGTTGCAAATCTCTTCTAAAGCAACTCTCTTTTAAATCTAACTAATAGGCTTAACATCGGCCGATTCTGTCTTCTTTCCAGTGCATATCCCTTCGCTCGATGGTTACGAATGGAAAAAGTTTACTGGTGGCCTACATCATACTCTTGGACTTACAACTGATGGTAAATTACAACTATATCCTTAATAACATTCGTCAATTCGGAGTGTTTTAGGTAAAGTATATGCAATGGGTCGTTGTCATGAAGGTCAACTAGGTGTTGATGACTTGACTACTCATGTTGATAAACCAATGCTTATTCGAAATATTCCCAAAGCTGTCGATGTAGCCTGCGGAAATCATGTTTCATTTATAATCGATGAAAATGGCAAAGTTCATTCATTCGGTGCTGGTACATCTCTTCAACATGGACATGGCGAAGAAGATATCAAACTTCCACGTTTGATGTCATCGAAATTTATGGATATTAAAAGAATAATCAATGTTGCTGTTGGTGCTCAGCATACAATTTTTCTGACTAAAGAGTAATAATTTTTTTTCTTTCTCTCCTCCTTTCTGCTGCTGCTTCCTTTTTTTTACAATAAACCAAAAAAACAAAGAATATAAAAAAGATGAACTTTTGTTATTTTGCATATGATCAACGAATTGATGCTTGGCTGCAAGACTACATATACAAACACACACACACCGATGTAGTTGACACCGAGAAAACAAAACATGTACAAAAAAAGAAGAAAAAAGATTATGCATTTGTTTTTGTGCTTCAAGTTTAAAGATGCCGTTTCATGTGAAGAGTTAAGTGGTCAGAACGAGCAAAAGCTCGATCACAAAATTTGCATGCGAATGGTTTCACACCAGTATGTTTCCTAAAAATAAATCGGAGCAAAAAACGTGACTTAGCTTTTTCTTCTCGAGTTTATTTTTACTGTTGAGTGAAAATACTTACCGATAATGTCGCGTTAATTCGTCGGATCGAGCAAATTTCCATCCGCATGAGGGCCATTGACATGAGTACGGCTTAATACCTGAATGTGTTCGCTCATGAGCACGTAAATGGGAGGATTTATTGTACGTTTTTCCACATCCGGGATGACTACAAACGTGAGTCATGGTAGTCGGGCGTTGGGTGTCTTCTCCGTCATTCGTATTCTCTGATGGAGCAGAAGTTTTGCGTTTAGCTTTAGGTATTTTGTTTGTGCTTGCTGCTGGACGTTTTCGACCGGCTGATATAGCCGGTGTCGACCAAATATCTTCGATCGTTGTCTGATTTGTTGTTTGAATAGGTGAAGTTAATGAATAATCAAGACCAGATGATAAGGGGGAAATTGTGGATTTGATATCATCAATAGGTAAAGAAACAGGGATAAGTAATGATGATGAATACGCGTCGGATGATGCTGTCGAAAGTGTAGATTCGTCATATAATTGATGTCCGAAATCTATTGAATAATCCGATGAATATTGTATTGGTTCTGTCTTAACACTTTCAGAATGATGATTTGGATTAGAGATCGGATTTGGACAGGGTAACATTGAGTTTGTTCGATCGTTGTATAAACAGCAGCATGCTGATGAATGTTGATGCGGTAGTTGTTGCTGCTGCTGTTGCTTTTGCATAAAACTTTCATAAGTCGTAGCTGAAGAGAGTTCTTCGTTGATCAATTCATTATCTAATGGTAGACGCTTACGACAAAGTGAGAGAGCAGTTGGTGAATGAATCAAGGGACTTGAACGAATTTTTGAGCCAGGATGTTGATATGGAACTTCACTCGTTGCCGCTGCTGGCTGATACGCCTGTTGTTGAGAAAGAGAAGGATGAAGATGAGCAAGATCATGATGATGATGATGATGCTGTTGTTGAAAATGATGTCGATTTTGTTGATGCTGCATTTGATATGGAACAAGATGAGCTGGTGGACTTAAATCCGATGAACACGTGGACGATGCTGATGATAATGACATAGTCGAAGGTGTTTTGCTCAATTCGTCTGTAAGATTCTGTACACCATTTGTATCATATTGACTCATATGATCAACGACGCCAAGTTTTTTTAGACGAGCAGCTTGTTCATATACATTAGGAGTTTCAAGTATCATCGAAGGATCTGCACGTAAGTTAGATGTTTCACGCCATAGTCGTTCTAATTCAGGTGAATACTAATAATAAAAAGATAACAATGTATTCTTTATTTTTGGATATATGTATATAAAGAACTTCATGTATGATTTCAAGTATTTTTCTTTGAATTAAATACTTACAGTATTGGGTGTTTTTGGACTGCTTGGAAAGCCTAATCCGTAATCTTCACCACTTTCGATCATGATGCGTTTCAAATGAATAAATTTTTTTGCCATAATAGAATTCTCTTTTCTCTTTTCGCCGTTTTTCTCTTCTTGTTTGCTAGGAATTGGTTGGCTGAATGAACCAATTTTGAACCAATCGTCAAACGATCCGTTATTAAACAAGCGAATGTATATGAACAAATCTCGCGATCGATTTCCGGTAGTCAACACACATTCATCGATGAATCTTTCCTAAATGATTACAATGAGAAAAAAAGAAGGAAATATAGATGAATATATCTGTTCCAGGAAATATTTTTCTTTCGTTCGATAAGGAAGCATATGGAACAGCAAAAAACCCGGTTCTCTAGAAGACGAACAAAAATACAAACAAATTCCAGTGAAGCGTACTATCTCTCTCTCATTCGTCACTCGTTACGCATTGCTTATATTGAAAATATAACTATTGACACATACGCGGAGGCGCTTACACTTTTTTTTTTCTTCGATCGTGCGTTATGCACCTTCGTCTGACAAAAATCGATTGCCGTTTGAGTAATAGCAACACGAACTTTTTCTGTTCTCCGCATATACACGAAAAAACGACACATACTCCGTCGAGTGTTTTCTTTTGCTTTTACTTTGTCTTTCTCTTGTTCACCTTCTCGAGTATTACCATGTGCCAGTAAGAGCAAGGCTACAAATCCTCATCGATGTGATTCATCTTGAGTATGATTTAAGTGAATCCGATCTATCTGCTTGACACTATTTGCTTTTGTATCTGGGGTTTTGCCACAACGATATTTTTCTCGGTTTACGTAAACATTGAGAAAGAAACCTTTGAAATAGAGCCACTCTGGAGGGTACGTTTTTCTTTTTGATTTTGCATAAAAAGTTTCATTTTTTTTGTTGTGTTGTTGTTTTTTCCTTTAAGCTTCAGTTTCATTCATTGTCATGAAAATTCAATTTTCGTTTCTTTTCCTTTTTCTCTCTTTGACCCGATGGTTAAAAAGAGCAAAGAAGAGATTTTCTTCGCAAGGCACGTTCGCGAGTTAAGAGGTGAAACAAAATCGAATCAAAATGCAACGTATTTAAGCTTTTGTTAGTCTATCTTCACCAGCGTGTTGGTTATCTAATGAGATTGAAGATCAACATCCTGAGTATACATCCATGACACACCCAACGATTAACTCATCGGACTCTCGTTTGGCCACGTGTCAATACGATTGATACATTGAACGGAAAGATGCATGTCGAAAGACATCATCAAATTAAATAAGCAAGACATCATTGTATAGCTTTCGTACGTAGGTACGAAACGAAGACGATAGATAAACATATCATTTAATCATGTTCAATATTAGATGTTGTTTTCTTCTTCTTCTTCTTCTTCTTCTGCTGGAAAATCGAATTGATTTTTGTTCACAATTATCCTGTCGGCACCGGAAATCGAACAATATTTAGATAATTGAAAGAAAATTATATCGCAGATTGTTGTCGTGCACATCAATTGATAAAAAGAATGTCTCTGTGTATATTGACGTAAAGATGAACTGACCAAATACTAATAAAAGTCTTTTATTTTGTTTTCAATTCGATTTGATTTACTTGTATGAATGCCGCACTGTCGATTTGTTGACAAACGGAAATCGCTCATCAATAATAGTCAACACCATCAACAACCCATCGCTTCGTACTGATCAAACAGCGTATGATAAAAGAAACCAAAAGCAATCATGCAGAACACGAAAAAAGTGCATGTACGAGAGCTGAAAAGTGAAACGAAAAAGAAAAATCAAAACGATGAAACTTGTTCGATTGATTGTTGAAAAATTATGTGTTGTAATAACAATCATTCTTGTCTATGAGAATGCACTTGTTTTTTATCAACATCTTTTTCCATACTGGTGGTCTCATGGACTGTACAAGCGATTTTTCTTTTGTTTTATCGTCGGACATTGGCTCTTAATCAACACAGTCAAACATTATTACTTAGCGATATCGAAATCGCCAGGTTTTGTTGCGGATTTGAAGAAAGATTTGTCTCCGGAAGATGAGTTAAATTACACGAAATGTTTAAAATGTGATGCTATGAGACCACCTCGAGCACATCATTGTAAAATATGTGACAAATGTGTTCTTCGTTTTGATCATCATTGTAAGTAATAACCAGCGTCATTATGAGAAAAGAACTCCAATACACACCTTAAATATAAATAGAAATATGCTCATCGTTCGTATATGATTGTTCATATTTAGGTCCTTGGATTAACAACTGTGTTGGATATCGAAATCATGCGCATTTCGTTCTATTCTGTATTTATATGACAATGATTGCTGCTTTTTCTACGATAGCCGGACAGCAACAGTTTCAATTAGTTATCTTTCATGACCAAATACTTTTTCGTTTGTTCGATCCATTAATTAAGCCGTACAATTTAACTATCGCTGTTATCGAACATAATACGATAGGACCAATCACTGGTGTATTGACACTCTTTCTTTTTATTATTAATCTCGTTGCAATGGGTCTTGTCTTAAGTTTAACTGTATGGCAAATGAGTCTTATTACGAAAGGTCAGACATGTGTGGAAGAAAAGATTGATAAATCCATTATGAATAATACGAAACAACAACGTCAACGATTGTATGATTGTGGTTGGAGAGAAAACTGGAAGAGATTTTTTGAAGTCGAAACTGGTTTTCAATTGTTGATACGAATCTTAGTCCCGTATACATTTCAACCTAAATACGATGGAACTCAATGGGTAACGAAAGATAACAAGTGACTTCGTAATCAGCATATTTCCTTCATGAACTTTCGAAATTAAAATTCAAGCGAAGATGTATCAATACAGATGAAAATTGCAAAAAAAAAGAACTCTAGTTCGAATTGATACTAGATACGAGAAACACAAGTTGTGTTGAGCGTGATTTTTTCATGTGAATTTTAATGAAATTTTTCAAAAGCCAGATTATCAGTTTTAATTAATAAAATTGACATCAAAGAGTTTCGTAATAAAGAAAAACTCATTAAAGGAAGACTTTAGACTATGCATGACTACGCTCTTAAATAATAATGATGGCAAATGTCACTCAAATCGCAGCAATTCTACTTTAGAGACCTAAATACGAATATTACCGTCTACTCTATTAGAAAATCATCACTATATCCACAACGATCAAAGCATATTTTTATTTAGATGACATTCTGAAAAAGTCTGTGAATCAATATGCATGGTTTTTTCAACGACCAAACATGAATTGGAATATAGATGGTAGTTGTTGTGCTTGAGCATCAGTATCTGAGATGGTTTTTTTACCAAATGTCACTGAGTCAGTTGTTTGTGATCTTGGTCGGACACTATTGTTGAGACGTTGATCAATTGGGTGTCGTTCGTGTGAACTACTAGTCTTGTGCGAATGTGATGTTGTTGTTTCGGATCGTCCACGTGCGGCATTGTGTTTACCTGAATGTGATGATATTGTTTTAGATCGTCTACGTGTATGAGGCTCATCGTGATGTCTAGGAGATGATGTAATGGTATTGAATACTTCCTTCGCTTTTTCGAAAAGTGTTGGACTACGTTTTTTTAGTTGATCCTTAAAATAAACAATCAAAGTTAAGCAACAACAAAGATTTTATATTACATCTTCATGTGTTGATAAGCTACGAGCAGTGTGGCGTTTATCCGGTTGGATTAATAATCCCGATAAATGTTCGGTGGTCGAATTGTCTGTTGTACTCGATGAGTACTCGGTATCCATATTGCTTTGCATCTTTTCGTATGACATGTTGTTTAGAAAAATAAAAAATAACTCGCAAAAGTTTATCTTGTTATCTCAATAGAGAAAAAAGAGAATAAAAAAAAGATGAGAGGATGCATACGGTGAAATATTTAAGTATCTATGGGTTCTGCTGAAAAACTAGGCTATTTTTATCTGATAAGAGCATTATTTATTCAAGCAGGTAATGAGGAGAGATTGTCCGGAAAGGATATTAACTCTTTCCCTATGACAGCGATATCTGTTGGACAGCGTTTTATGTGCGTAGGGACATTCGCGATTTGTGCGAAATAGTGATTTGTTTGTTGATTATTGCGAGAAGTGAAATGACCAAAAGGAGAAAATCTTCGTTGTTAAAATCACAACGAGAATATGATGAACAAATCTACTGGAATGATCGATATGAAGCGAAATTGAAAAGAAAATTTAGTAAAAAAGATGAGGATGATCATACCGATGAATGGTATTTCTCCTATGCCGATATTTCAGATCTGTTGAAATCGTACCTGAAAAGCTTTCATCGTCAATCTCCTGTATTAGATATTGGCTGTGGTCTATCGAACATTTTCGATGAGTTAGCCGATAATTCTTTCTCCGGTCCATTTATTGGTACTGATTACTCTCAAATTGTCATCAGTCATTGCAAAAAGATGAAGAAACCGTCGAATTTTCATTATTTAAAATTAGACATGATGCAAAAATCGAAACCATCGTTACCGTATCAATCTTTCGGTTTGATTATCGACAAAGCAACAACCGATGGCATTCTATGTAATCAAACGAATCTCTCAAAGATCGCGCATTTATATGAACATGTATCCAAACTTCTCGCATCGAATGGTTTATTCATTCTTATAACGATAAAAACAGTTGACGATGAACAGTGGTTCGAAGATTGTCTGATTCCATCGCTGATTCGAGGAAGTGAACACGAGCATACAAAGTTTATTATTCATTTTCATCGTTGTATGACTTACACAGATGAAAGTGAAAATGGTCCGAATGTTTTTGTTATTGTTAAATATGTTTGTAAAACGTATTCGTTACGTTCAACAACAAAATGTACGAAGCGTGATTTGTCACAACTAGTAACAGTCAAATGTTACTAGTAGATTTATTTAACAAAAATAGAATAAAAGCTATGGATGATAAGAAAATTATCTTATCTTTGAGATTGGATAAACTACAAGATGTAAGTAATGAGTCCGTTTTCGTCATGTGACGTCGAGTTTCTTGCCACTGTTTCAAAATCTATTGAGAATCTGATTGTGTCTAGTGATACAGAGAAACTTTCTCTAGTAGTCTGGCAGTGCATGGCCATGATTACGCCAATAAATGCGATCAAGGACAGAGTATCATTCATCCGAAAATTCAATATTAAAGAAAATGTGTAACCTAGAACGTTTGTATTTATTATCAGATTATTGACAAATAAAAGAAATATTGCATAAAAACAAAGAAATACACGCACATATACATAAAAGCAAATTGGTGAGATGTATAACAAGATAATATTCTTTTGTTTTGATCATCACTGTTTTTTTGAAGAACTCCAAACTGAAAGACACGATCAATCAGAGCAAAAAGAACGTTTTAGTAAAAATTATGAATAGATAAGACGATGAATAAATGTACATCGAGAATGAAAAAATGAAAAAAGATAGGAATGTATAAAAAGACAAAAAAAAATGAAAAATGAACCTTCTTTTCTATCGATGATTTAACTTAATTTCAGAATATCATCAAACAATGCTTTCGCTGTTCGAGCAATATTGACCGCATGTTCATTCATTTTCTCATAATTTCGTTGACGAACTGTTTCAATCAATGCAACAACCAACGACGAAAAATGATTGTAACGTTGTTCGGACTAACGAAAATTTCAAAAGCAAAATCGTTGAAATCGAGAGTAACAATCTAAATATCACTCACCATTTCTTTGATTGCCGTTGGTGCATAATCAAGTGTCTGCAAAAGATCGCGAACAGCGATAGCAATATTACGAACTAATTGCATTTGTTCCTTATCATTGATTGGCGATAAAGGACGATTCGTTTTTGATAGGATTCGATTATTGTAATTATTAACTTCATGCTGACGGGTTAATGTGAGAACAGCACTCACGATTTGTTTGGTTTGTGAATGAAATAAATCTATTAAAAGTGATGAGGAATTGGAGATTTTTTCTCTCGTTCGTGGTGATCTGATTTCTTGAGATTCTTTGTAATCATTGAATAAAATCTGAGAAAAAAATCAATTATGAACTGGAACGAATAGAAAAAAATGTGTACTTTATTATCAGCAGGTGTACGAAATTGAACATTGTGACTAGATTCACTTCGGCTGGTCGTTATTTTATTACTTCCGACTGAAACGAAAGGAAACGAAACGAATGATTGAACATGTGATGAGATTAGAAACAGTAACTGACTGGGTAAGCGATGGCCTGGAAGCCCGTTTTTGTGTGGTAAAGCAGGTTTTGGTGGTACATGATCGTCTGCTGTTGGCAATACAACAAATGCTGACGTTGCAGCAGCAATATTGGATTTTGTTGTTACTGGTGTTTGTTCATTGTTGTTTGATCGATCTTTAAAATGTATGTATGAGTTACTATTTGTTTGTTCTTCAGTGAAAATTGATCTAAATGAGCAAGCACGGAAGAATCCTTGAGAATTATTTCTTGCGACTGTTATTTACTTTAAACGTGATTCGATTTGCAGAAATGTCGGACGATTAGTTGGTTCATATGCCCAACAGTCTTGTAATAAATCGAATAAACGTTTCGGACAGTAAGTACCGGGTAAAGGTAATCGAACACCATTTTCAATTTGATCAATCACATCCGTATTCGCTATGCCTTGAAATGGTTTCTTACCCATGCTTAGAATTTCCCATATGCAAACAGCAAACATCCAGACATCAGATAGATGTGTGAAACGACGGAAATTGATCGATTCGGGTGCCATCCATTTTATTGGAAGTTTGCCTTTTGAAGCTAAAGAAACGTTTTCACTTCGTCATTCAATGGTCTATTCGTAAGAGAAGTTTTCTTTACCTTTATAATATGAATTATCGAGTGTTAATTGACGCGATAGACCAAAATCAGCCAATTTAACTGATTCGTGATTTGATACAAGAACATTTCGTGCTGCAATATCCCTATTTACAAAGATTCATTAGTTGTTTCTTTGTTCGATTTCATAAATTGAGCTTAATCTACCTGTGAACAAATTTCTTTGATTCGAGATACGCCAGTGCAGATGATAATTGTTGACAATAGAGCACCAATGTAATCACATCAAAATCTGCTCGATTTGCTACCAAATAAGCGCGAAGCTAAAGCCAAATCAAAACATAGATAGAACAGAAAGAGTTTTCAAAGAATATCGTACCTCGCCCAATCTAGCTAATTCCATGATTAATAGAACAGGCTGTTCGGCGCATACACCGATGAGTTTAATAATATGTGGGTGTTCAAATTTTTGCATCACATCTGGAAAGGATAATGTTCAGAGTGTTCCTTTTTTCTTAGAAAAACAAACAACTTACATGCTTCTTCTAAAAAGGCTTCCGTTGTTGCGGAATCTTGCATTTTACATGTTTTTATCGCTATATTGATTTCGATTTGTTGATCCGTCTAGAGTACAATGACAAAATAAAAGCAAAATAGAAAAAAATCAAATTACTTTTAATATTCCTCGGTACACTTCACCAAACTGCCCATTACCCAACGATTCGATCATATGTATTTGTTTACGATCGATTTGATAATCCGATGATAGAACATCCGCGTAATCTCCATTAATATCATCATTATCAGTATCGGCTACAAATGAAAGACACAATTCTATTATGTTTGCTTTTTCCTTGATATTCATACTTTGAGAAGAAAGAATTTCCGATGAATGATGAATAGGAACAACAGATGCGCATGCAGACGATCCTCGCAAAGTTCCTATTTGTTGATCATCAGCCATTGATCGCCAAAGTGAATGTGCACTACGATTAACTAGCATACAGTATCCATCAATAAGAATGGCCACCTCATTCGCATCGAAAAGCGAAGTAAAGCTAAGTGTTAAAATCTACGTAGAAAGGAAAAGTTTTAGAAAATAAAAAAATGCAATATTGACGAATTCGATCTACTTCGGATGAACCAGCAATAGTTAATTTGAGTAAACCACGTTCATCTGAATTCGTTTTCATTGTCACAATTGAAAGAACATCTTCAAACGAAACCATTTTCGTTAACTAAATTACACTTGATTGAATTAAGAAAGATCAGCAAAGCAATACTTTCATACTTTAGTAAAATTCTGAGTTCGATAACTGATTCCATCTGACGGTCCAAGAGCAAGAGTTACTGGAACTGCCCATTCAGCCTTGAAGAAAACTTACAATCATAGAAGTAATTCGATGAAACACTTACACCTAAATTAGATGTGTAAACTTCTTGTTCCCAATTCCAAACATCTTTAAGTAAGAAACAAAAACGTTTGACACATTCTTCTTCAGCTAAGCCTTCGTATTTTTTCAAACATGCTTTGATACATTTTCGAAGAACTCTAGGCTAGAAGAATAGATCGTTAAGAACGGACGAATTTTTCCCGTAGAAACAAACTTTGTGCGCATCAATAATTGATTGTGGAAAGAAACGTTTTAAACCGAGTTCTTTTTCCAAATAATCGACATTGACTTTCTTATCTAAGGCTGTTGGATTGAGATCTTTGAAAAGTTTACGAATTTCAAGTGAACCTAATTCAATCGCTTCATTCATTGACACGTGTTCTGATTTTAAACGCATATAATCGATACGAAGCTAAAGAAGATCGAAATAACTCAACGAAATTACATACAAATTATTACTTGTTCGTATAAATAACCAAACGTTGGTTTATCATGTGATAGAGCATCGATTGATTGTGGAAAATATCGAAGACGAAGTTCAAGTCTAAAGATTGGAAATATATGTTAGTAAACCCACAAATAATTTTACTTCAATTCTTCGATAGGTCCATGTATTCGTTGTACTTTATCCATTGTCATATTCGGATGTAGCCATTTCTCACTCACATTGGTTTTATCTGATGACGACGACGCTCTTACATTGCTTATTTGTAGATCCTTTCCAATAAACGTAACTCGTAGAGCAAATGATGAATGATATATCAATTCATTTGGAGAAAGACGACCTTTGAGTACTATTCGAATTAATTCCTAAAAATCGACAAGAAAACGCATATCTTCGACTCTGATCTAATCATATGTATATCAAATATTTCATACAGCAATAGTGGTCGATGATGTGTAACGAAGACCATGAAAAGATCCATTGGGAAAGTAAATTTTTAAAAACATACTTTTATCCATATCTATATCAGCATTACCAATGCCGATAAATAACAATATACACGTGAAACGATTGAAGGATCAATTTATCTCACATTTCTATTCGTTCTGCACTTGTACCATTAAAATACATAAACTCGTTCGTATCATGACCTCTATCGACTAATTATATTATACGTGCTTCTCTTTTCTCTTCGAAGTGATGATAGAATCAATCGTACTGATGATAAATGTATGTATTCATTTTATAGAATCTGGTAAATAGATGAGCGGAGGTCGAATTCTTCTTCGAATTTTCTCACATGGAAAATCTCATGTAAGCGAATGGTTTCATTAAGAAATTTAAAAGCAGAATCTTTTCCTTTTGTATAGATTTCCCGATCGTTCAGTTCAGTTCAGACCAAAAGCAAACTAAAAACTAATCCGATTTCAGGTGCAAGAACGGTATTCAATGGCGTTGATTCCAAAACAATGTTCGCTGCTCAAAATATTCCTTTACCTGAACTTGCTCCAGGAGAAATTCTTGCTAAAGTAGATCAATACGAATTTCGTTCAACAAAAAACTCGAATCTTTCTATCTCTGTTAATTCTCAAGGTTCGTCTAGCATCGATCTGTATGAGTGATGTGCATACAATAACCGGTCATCGTATTGAACCAACACCAAGGTATTTTATCCATTGTGGAGCTCAGCACTTCGAAAATTGTGTTGTTTATTTTAAGTGTCCTTGGTCATGAAGCTGTTGTTGAAGTGATTGATCATCGACGACCGGAGAGTAACTTGGCTATAGGCGATCGATTAACTTTTTCTGTTGCCGATTGTTGTGGCAATTGCGAATTCTGTTTGAAAGGACTCAATCAAAAATGTGTTAAACTATTCAAAGTACAGTTTATCTCTCTTCATTTTCATTTCGCTAAACGAACTTGTTTTTCATCTGAATTGTAGTATGGTCATGCTAAACTGAGTGATGGCTCTGGATACAATGGTTGCTATGCAACACATATTATCCTTCGTCGTGGTACTCACGTCGTGAAAATTCCTGATGTTATCTCAGATCGATGCGCAGCACCGATTAATTGTTCATTGGCAACTACGATGGCTGCTATGGAACATGTGCCGAAAATAAAAAACGGAAGAGCTTTTGTTCAGGTATGAATAACTGTAGTGAAGATTACTTACGTATAATCTTCTCGAGTTAATATGTCTGCTGACTATGCAATCAATTTCTATTCAAGTTTTAGAAACAAAACCGTACACGACCCACAGGTCTTTCTTTGCTTTTATAGCTACAGTCGATATTACATGCATGTTGACCTTGATAATTGACAGTGCGGACATATATTATCTTTGAATGAATCAGAATTGTGTGAATTGCGAAGTTGTAAAACATCCTATATGGTGGCATTTTCGAAAAAGAAACTACCTATATTTCTTAATTAATATTGCTAAGACGATCCGAATAAATTCTTTTCATCAAACTCTTTGTTTCACAACGAATGACGACGTACTAAGTTATTTTAAAAATAGGTATTAGTATTCGAACTTCTTAGCCTTGAGAAGATTATTCTAAATCTCTCGAATAAAAATACATCTGATTTTATAAACAAACAAATTTAAATTTAGGGTGATGGAATTCTCGGATTGTATACATCAGCTGCACTTCGTGAGCATGGTTTTGAAAAAGTTTATTGCTCCGGAACGCGTCTACAACGTTCAAAATTTATCGATCGGTTCGGTGCCATTCCACTCTACAATGGTAAATAAAACTCCTTTTTTGTGTGTCCATCCGATATTCACAAGCTTTCAGGGAGTAATTGATTTGCATGTTTTCACCTTTTCGTGCTTTCTCTTTTGTTTATTATTTTCTATTTAGAAAGACAAAGTACGCTACAAAAGTTTCCTTCTAGGAATTATAGATTTCTGATGCAAATCTGTTTCTCGCATGCCTTGCCATACAAAAAAATCAAGATGAATGCTTGCTAGTCGAAATTTTATTCTAACAGAGGCTTACATTTATATTAATAGCATCCACTGACGTCATGCGTACACTTATTTTTGTGCATGCTAGCAATTTTTTCCAAGTATATGTTTGATTTCGATGATTTATTTAGACGAAGTTCTTCACGAAGAAACAAACAAGATTGATGTCGTTGTTGAAGTAAGTGTTTAATTCGTATTTACATCGATTGAAGTATACTTGCTTGACATTTCGACTATTAACAAAAAGAGCTCTTGATGACGTGAATAAATAGATGAATGTCAATTGTAGGTATGTGGAGTTGCCAGTGTTGTGAATGATGGTTTTCGAATGTTAAAACCTGGTGGGATCTATCTGTTCCTTGGTATGGTTCATCCACATTCGCAATTGAATATAACTGGCGAACAGATCATTCGGAAATGTTTGACAATTCAAGGTAGGAAACAGTAGAATTTCAATCGAAATTCTTACTTGTTAGTTTCCATTAGGTATTCATAACTATGCCCCACGTCATCTGGATCAAGCTGTTCAATTTCTCGCCAAAACAATCCGACGATATCCATATGAAGAAGTCATGGGGCCCACTTATGATCTTCCGGATTTGCCAGCGGCAATGAAACTTGCTACTGGAAAACAATATAGTCGCGTTTTAGTCAAACCAAACATGGTCAACTGACTTACACGTATTTTCATTTCTTCATTTTTTTTTCAACATATTTATTCAATTTTTGAATGACTTTATTTTAACTGTTAGTGTGACGAGAATATTTATTCGTTAAAATAATAATCAAACATGGTTTTTCTCTTATTCATGTCTTTATATGCATACTTATATTGAAATCAAGAAAAGAAACGGAAAGAAAAAAATTTGCCGAGTGAAGACAGGCTCAACTCAGCTGTATTTCTAACGTTTCTTTTCATTATTTATAGCTGGATAGGAATTGAATTGTTGTAAGATGTGAGCAACTTTCGACCAATTGGCTTCAGCAATGCGACCTGTTCGTTTGTCGGATAAACAATTTGTTTGGCATTGCTTTGATAAATTTTCACAAAAATCAAGTGAACCGCTTACTACTTGATTCATTTGTGCTAGAAGACAAGCAGCGAATTGTTGTTGACATTTAGCAAAACAATAACCTTCATATTTAGATCAAAATGAACCGAGGAAATGAAATGAAAGTAATCCTACCGCAGATCTTTCCTTCTAATGAGGGATTTTCATTGTGAAATTCAACATCACAATCAGCTTGAGAGTTGTCATGACGTCGACTCCACCAAACTGCAAAAGACAAATGAGTTCGCCTTCGGTTATGTCATCAACACTTACTGTTGCTTCGTGTGGATAAACAATGAATAAGTTGGATAAGTGAAAGAAGTACAATCAACTGTTTGAACATTTTTTGGGTTGAAAATGAAAACAACGACAAAGATTCTCTATGCTCTGAAAAAAGAAACAAGATTGACAATCGAAACTGAACTCATCACAGATATGATCTCATGCCTTTAAAACGATAGACTGATTTGATTCCACAAAAAAGATAGGACACTACTTTAGAATGCGAGACTAAATGTATGTAGAAGAAAGAGAAAAGGAACTAGAGTTTTTCTTATCCAAATTGATATGAAAGAGAAAACATCGTCTATCTATGAATAATAAGCATCGAACTATTATATAAATAAAAGAAAAAAAATGACGTCTTTTTCGCTTAGATTCATCGTTTCGAGACAACATCAAATCATCTATTCATTTCAAACTAAATTAGATCATTCTCTTCATGTTATTCTTGTAAATATAAGGAAAAAAATGCATTCAGCAAACAATGAGTCCTAGATTAACCCTTTTTTCAATTAAAATCCGTCGAAATAATCTTTATTTCATTACATTTCTTTGCTCATCTTATGCTAATCTGTGTACAAAGAAACAACATTTTTTTCTTTTATTCTTGAAAAAAAACAAGAAAAACCAACTTATTTCCCATCGGAATGAAGAGAAATAAATTGAAACGCAATGATGTCTGTAAGTGAAATTGAAAGAGAAGATTCCGACGGACTCTTTCATTAATTAAATGTCGCAAGGTACTTTCGCCAGTCAAAGATATAATTGTCATTATCAAGCAGTTTTGACTATATCATATAGACTTTTAAAAAAAGTTTTGTATCTAATAGAGAGGTACTACTGAATAACACGTCTTGAACAGTCATCATTAACACAAAATTGTGATGAACGATTCCGTCGGTTACTTCCTTGCTATTTCGAATATTTTCTTCAAATAGCTGGCTGGAAGATGACAGGAAACATAACAAAACGAACAACGTGTAGCAATTATTGTGCTTAGCAAATTGCCGAGAAGTGTTTGGGATCAGCACTAGAGTATCACTTATCCATATTTGATTATCTACACATGGAATAAGGAAATACTATCATCTTAAATGATCCTTTAAATGAATGCATTACAAATTTGGATACTTCAGTTGGTAGCTCGTTCGTTTAATATGTTCAAATCATTGTTTTTTTTTTACAATGACATTACGTCGAAGAGGGAAAGCAATCGTTTATTTATTGACATTTCATTGCAGACTTCATGTTTATTTTCAGCCCATTATAGCGTACTCATATACACTCGTATCTGTGTCCTCATCCAGAATTAATAATTATCATTGTATACAAATTAAGAATGTAGTAGTGGCAATATGACATTGGCAAGAGTATTGATGGATTCCTTTTGTAATCCTTGTGATAATAGATTTTAAGATGTAGACAACTTTTCACACTCCGCAACATAAATAATTAAGATAATACAATTATTAATGTTTTCTCGTAATAACAATTTGACTACGTTCGGTAGAGGAATTCTAGTGCCGTCTGTTATTTTTGAGGTCACAATTGTCGATCTTACGTGAACTACCGTACAATGCTCGAAGAAAAAGTGCAACTAACATCGACAAGAGTGATGTACACAAAATACATCTCAAACCGCTATTTCTCAGCACAGGCTGATATTTACTTCTGGAAGAAAAATATACGAATTGAATTCTCATTAGAAGTATTTCATATACTCTTCAGGATATTTGAACAAACAACAGTTGTGTTTAAAGAAAAGACATATTCGATTATTAATTATTAAACTAATTTGCATTAAATCTTTCATTCTGAATAACGTTCGTTTCATTGTCAATGTGGTTTGTGAGTACGTCTTGAATAAGACAAATTGTGCTAAAAGCGAAAGAAAACAAAACAATTAACTTTGGACTTATCTATAAATCATAATTCCTCACTCTACGCACTTTTGTCCCTCAAGATTCATTGTCGTTATATATGAAGTGAACAATATCACCTGGAATGTGTACATTTTCGGATCATTTTAGTAAGGAGAAAAGAAAACACTTCGGATCATTGGAGTTTTTTATCGATTCACTCTTGAATTTTTCTGAATTATAGTGTCGATCAGTTTCAGTTTGTGAAAGACTTTCTTCGTTAAACATGTGAAACAATCTGAATTCGACTGATCCTGAGAGATTGTTTTCATTGAAAATGTTATGATTGAACAAAAGCAAACTGTTTGTTGTACTGCTGTCAAAATTTGTCCATTTTCTGTCCAGTTTGTTGTTGCATTGATACGATTATGAGTACCAACTTGAATCGATGAAAACAAGATATTTCATGCAGAGTTCATGAATGAAAAATTATGAAAATTCTTTCAATCATTAAAAAAGTTTCGATCAAACTCGGTGAAGACTTGAAACTTTCACGTAAATACCGAAAACAAAAGGAGTCTGAATTGGAAAGAAGCTTCCGTATCGATATTGTGCATCGATAGAAGCCGATAAAAATTTGAATCAAAATAAAATTTGCTTTTATTTTCTCCGAAAAAACTCGATATCAGTGTCGGTATTGTTTGTGAATATCTCTTGTTTCGATATTAACGAAGAGAACTTTTCTCTGGAAACATGAAACAAGCCGATTTTAAAACAATTTTCAGGTAATCTGAGAAAATTATATTTTCACGAGGTGATTTATGCTTCTACATACAAAAAAATACTCTTTACTTCGTGTACATTTGAGCCATCTGTACGATTGATTTTGATTCGTTGAACTGAATAATTGTATAGTAAAACTTATAGAACAATTCTCATTCGTTGACTATCGAGCCAATCAGAAACAAACTTTCGACATCTAAACAAAGAATGTTGTATATAGTTATATCAAATTAACTCTTTAAGATCCGAAACAGTTCTCTTCGCATTATATAAACCAAACATTTCATCTTTCAGATTGCCAACAAAATCTTTACCAATAATGGCTGATACTGTAAATAACGATATTTATCGTTAATGCTCTGAAAAATCCATTGTTTTCTTTTTGTAGACTAGTGCAGACAAACCAACATCGGTACATTCACTCGTGTTCCGTTCATTGAAACGAACACATGATTTATTTCTTGCTAATCAAAATGCACCTGTATCACCCGATGAAAATGCGTATGTACTCGCTAATTAAGTGTCCAATTCCTTTATTGCCTTTCTTTTGTATGTAGCGATAGTATTTCCAGAAAAATTAAAGCCAAGGATCAGTATGGAACTGTACTTACTTTACCGAAAGGTATGAAACCACATGTGAAAGGCGCAGCAGAAGCAACTAATGCAGCATCTGAAGCAACAAGTATGTCTCATTTGTATATATGATATTTCATGAATAATGTGTTATATAATTCATTTCAGATGATGGTAAGAGATTCGATGTTTTTTTTGTTATGTCGATTATCGCATGATACTGAATTTATAGAAATAACTTCGAGTGATAATGAACCAATCGGTGAAAACATTCCAAAGTAAGGCTATAATCTTAAATCTAGGTTATTTCACTGTTTCTTTCTGCTTTAGTACAATTGCAAATCCTGACACAACAGCAGCAGCAGCTAATGCGCCAATGAGCAATGTAAGAATTCATATGTACAGTTCATAATGTTGATCGAATACTTTTCGTCAATATAGGCACTCGTTTTGGTAAATAAACCGCAACAACAGCCATCTAATCAATTACAAGCACTAGTATCGAAGAAACCTGCATCAGTTATGCCTAAACCACAATGGCATGCTCCATGGAAATTAATGAGAGTAAATTAAAACGAAAAGAGTCATCGTCCTATCGCTGCTACTTCGAACTATGTTTTAGGTGATCAGTGGACATTTAGGTTGGGTTCGTTGTGTTGATGTAGAACCAGCGAATGAATGGTTTGCAACTGGTGCAGCTGATCGAGTTATCAAAGTATACGAGAAGAAGCATGATTACATTTTATTCAAGATATTGTTCATTTAGATCTGGGATTTAGCCAGTGGCACATTGAAATTATCACTCACTGGTCACGTTTCTACTGTCCGTGGTGTTGCTATTAGTACTCGACAACCTTACTTGTTTTCATGTGGTGAAGATAAACAAGTCAAATGTTGGGATTTAGAATGCAATAAAGTAGTTTTTTTCAAAACGATATCATCATCTATTTCTTATTTGTATCCTTAGGTCATTCGTCATTACCATGGACATTTAAGCGCTGTTTATGCACTTTCATTGCATCCTACTCTGGACATACTTGTCACTTGCGGTCGAGATTCCGTTGCACGTGTATGTTTTGTATAAATTCTTTTATTTGTATTTTCGAAACGAGCGTGTTTATTTAGGTATGGGACATGCGTACTAAAGCTCAAGTTCACTGTTTAACAGGACATACAAATACTGTTAGTGACGTTAAAACACAAGCTGGAGATCCTCAAGTAAAATCTCAGATTGTATTTTATCCTCTGAAGAGTGAGTGTTCTTTGTTATAGGTTGTTACCGGTAGTCATGATAGTACAATTCGCTTTTGGGATCTTATCGCTGGACGAACGACATGTACATTAACACATCATAAGAAGAGTGTACGTTCTCTTGCTATTCATCCCAAATGGTAAAGAACAATATTAAATCAATTATCGTAATTGCCGCTTTATTCAATTATAGGTACACTATGGCGTCTGCTTCCCCAGACAATATCAAGGAATGGAAATTTCCCAATGGTGAATTTATTCAAAATTTAAGTGGTCATAGTGCGATTCTCAATTCATTGGCTTGTAATGCAGACAATGTACTTGTTTCGGGTGGTATGTTTTTTTTCCGATGATTTCATCAGCTATTCTCTGAGTGTGAACGGTTATTTCTAGCGGACAATGGTTCATTATATTTCTGGGATTGGAAAACTGGTTACAATTTTCAACGTCTTCAAACTGCCCCACAACCTGGTTCTATTGATCCTGAAATGGGTATTTATGCAATGACATTCGACCAAAGTGGTAGTCGATTGATCACTTGTGAAGCAGATAAAACGATTAAGATTTATAAAGAAGATGATACAGCGGTAAACATTTTTCACACTTTAGATTTATTCTGTATGATCAACTTGATTTATTTCTAGACTGAACAAAGTCATCCAGTCGATTGGGCACCAAACATTTTCAAACGAAAACGATTTTGAAATCTTTCTTCTTTGCTTGTTTGTGTTTTGTTATTTTCCTTCTGTGTGTACAGTTTCATGAAAAATCGTGAAAGAAAACAAATATCTCGGATCGATATTTCTATTCTTCGTCTTCTTTAGATGATGATGATGATGATGATTACGACAAAAGTTCTTACTTCATTTACAAGATCATCTCAGGTATAGGTGAATCACGCAATGGGAAATTAAAGTTCATTTGCAAATTTTCATAGCTTCCATGTGTTCGATGTCTTTCATTATCGGCTACGAATTATGCTCGACAACGTTCATATCATCGTCGAGATAAGAAAGGTTTTCATAATCGTGAAGACGTGAATTACGATGTTCCTTACCTACCGAAACAATCCAACTTTCGTGATCGTTTTCGTTATACCGCATTAGAAGAAGTCAAATTAGAACAAGGTACACGGCAGTCTTTAGTCGAGCCAATGATTGATCAAACAAAGCCGCCACACAAATTCCACGTTGTTACGAAAATCAAATCCACTTATGGCGAAACCATGTATGTGAAAGAAGCACTTGAAAAACTCGGTTTTATCAGTTATGGACAGAGAGTATGTGCGCTATTTTATCGCTACATTCTATTCTTTTACGTGTTATATTTCTACTTCTAGCAATGGGATGTTTTGACAGTCATTGTAAAAAACGTTCCATCAGTAAATAAACATCTTTATATATGCAAGCATATGTTACAAATAAAACCATTGACCTTTGTTGATGGTGTGCCATCTCTCGATGATGTTGGATCAACAAAATTATTTCCACATAATGGACACATCACTATCGGAGATCATTTTCATATCAATGAAGGAAACATTTCTCTTGATGAGAATGATAAATGGCCAGTCGACATGAATCATATTGTTGCTCGATTGCATGCCGATCAAAATGCCAACCGTCTACACGCAGAGTACTTTCCCACGAAATATGATTGGTTCTTCGGTCAAGATATACCTGGTGTGAAATTAATACAGCCGGTCAATCCAGAAATGAAAGATACACACTTAGAGGATCTATAGATTGGTTCGATAACGCTGATTGTTATTGTCTATTGTTCTTTCTCGAAGACAAATAAAAATCTATTTGTCTCATTTGTTTCATGATGATAAATGATATAGTTATGTTTTGTAGTTGAAATTTACCTTTTTAGATCGTGTAATGCTGGAGTGGACATATGCCGGTATTAACTTTTCCGCCAAAAGTACCGAGCCATGGGCTGACGATGGCGGCATTGAATGTGCTGCACATTCGACATTACGACAACGGTTATTTGAGACAGTACTTACTGTAATTGTGGCTTCCTACGAGATTTACTATGCAACTTATCATGCAAAGAGTCAAATCGGAACATCATTTCCTCGTGAATATGCCCGAGAACGACAAGGACGTCCCAGCGTGCTACGGCGTTTAGTGCTCGTGTGTTATGCTCTGCTGTGGGGTATTGAAATTGGTTTTAAAATCGCCTCACGACAACTTATTTATATACTGAATCCATGTCATATGGTTACTCTCATTCAAGTAAATATTGATTCAAGTCTGAGCCCTATTTGTCATGTACAATCATATTGTTGTCTTTCCGTGTAATTTGAGAAAAGAAGTATGCATTGGAACTGCTCATTAGTCTATCACTAAGCCTAACAGACTTAATTGCCTAAGCGAATTTCTATGCAACGTCTGTTGATTATTAGCTGATGTGTTTTTCTTTGTTATGATTAGATTATTCTTCTGACATTTTCTTCGAATTACTACACGCGTGGTCTTTACCGTTTGCATGCTGGGATGTTAAATGGTGGTACACTTGCAATTTATTTTCCAGTGACAGCTACACGGCTTTTTCCATTTGAAGTTGAGCTTTATTACATTCAACATATACTCATTTTATTAGTGCCAATTTTTCTACTTTCATCTCATGGTAAATCGGCAATTTCAATAAATTCATTGTCGAAAATGTCTTATCTTGGATATTTTAGGAGGTTATAGTCTTGAACCGGTCGGATCTTTTCGGTGGACAATTATAGCCATAGCCACTTTCCGTTTTTATCATTATTTTGTACTACAACCTTTTTCTTTAGTATGTTCTTTTCCATATCTATCTAACCATCACTTGGATTACTCTTTTTCTTCGATTATTCTAGTTAACCTGGGTCAATCTAAATGGTGTACTATGTCCATTTCAATTCGATCCATTCATAGGTCGATATTATCGTTTGTGGGCTCATGTTCATCAAACATTATTTATGATTATTCATCATAAGTTATTTTCCGTTGTCGCTCGCACTTGTATACAATTCGATATACGACGTATTATGTATTATATAAAACGACAAGACAAACCAGCACAACCTATACAGCAACCGATCGATTTTAGTGATATTATAAAAGACGAGTAAAACATTGCAATTATTTCTAGAAAATCAAATATTTGACTTCGATGAGCTCTAGTCTATGATGTATAATTTATTTTTTGTCATAAATGTAGTTGGATGTTGTTTTATGGATTTCGTCCTCTTTTTTTCTTTTCATGTTTAAAACAGTGATCTAAATATGCATACTAAACTATTAAACGGGCAAGTTCTTTCTTATTAACTTTCCCCATAGCGTTTCGAGGAATCTGTTCGAGGATGGCGACGGAGTCTGGCAATGAGTAACTTGGTAAAGATTGTTTTGAGTATTGACGTATTTTATCAGTTGTTAATTCGTCCGTCTTATTCGGAGATTTCGGCACGACGACAGCAACAATTTTTTGACCTAGAGTTGAATCATCAATACCGACAACAGAACATTCGGAAATGTTTTTGTTATCTAGTAGAACACGTTCGATATCTAAGGCGGATATTTTATACCCAGCACGTTTGATGATATCCATAGATTGACGACCACGAATTGCAAAAACGTTTTTTCCAGGAATATACCGACAAATATCACCGGTTTTGAAAAAACTGCCGTCGGCTGTGAAAGTTGCACGAGTTTCATTTCTTTTACGCCAATATTCTTTGAATAGAGTTGGGCTTTGAATCAATAGTTCACCTTCAATCGGTTCTTCTTTACCTTAAATAGAAAACGATTGCATTTTTTGTTGTTTCATGAATAAATCAAAAAATGTTCAATGTTACTCGAAGCTTCAACTTTGGTATTATCACTATCAGCTTCTACTAATGTGTCATAACCCTGCGGCGATGAGGGATTTTCTTTGACAATTCGAATAGTAACGCCAGGCATCGGTCGACCAACAGTACCTAGCAACTCACAATATCGATGGTATTCTTAACGATAATATCGAAAATACCTGATATTCTCTCTCCATTTAATGGATTTGTTAACGCCATACCACATTCTGTCATTCCATACCGTTCAAGAAGAGTGTGTCCTGTTATTTCATACCATCGTTGCTGAATACTTTCCGGTAACGCTGCGGAGCCCGACATCATCAAACGAATCATATGTGAACATTGATCTCGAACGAAATCTCTCGTTTGTGGACGTGATGCTAATTTAGTTTCATAATCTTTGATAAGTTTGGAATAGATTGTTGGGACAGCAGTAAAAACGGTAACATGTTGTTCAAAACCAGGATGAACTAAATGTTCCCACGCCTAATTAGAACAGGCGAGTTCAAAGGAAAAGAACAGATCTTTCCTAAAGTTACCTTTGACGCGTCAAAATTTGGCAACATAAGAATCGTAGCACCAATGTAAAGTGGAGTTAACAATGCATTTATCAAGCCATGTACATGATGAAGAGGGAGGACATGTAATATGACTAAAGATGAGAAAAAGTCAGTTTTTTTAACGAAGATAGTTTCCCTCTTACCATCATCTTTCGTCCATCGCCATGCTTTAATCATCGAATCAACATGTGCTTGAACAGTGTCGAATGTTAGCACACACCCTTTTGGTTTTCCACTTGTTCCACTTGTATATATTATCAGAGCGTTTGATCGTTGCGTTCGATCGATATTTGTCGTCGTTAATAGAAGATCGTCACTAATGTCCTCATTCAATGACGCCGTTGACAAATTCTTTTTCGTTATATTAATGATCGGTAGATCAATTTGTGCATTACCTTTTAATGTCGTCTTAATTAATTCATTATTTGCATCACTACCAACAATAACTCCTCGACACTGGGCATCAGTTAGGAAGTATGCCAGTGATGAAGGTGGGTGATGGGACGATAGTGGAACAACCGTAGCGCCGGCCATCCATGATGCCCACATTGCAACAATAAATGATGCATCATTCGGACAGAGAATGCCAAACTGAACGTGATGTCTAGTTGAAGTATCGTCTGTTGACTTTTGCTGTTGACAAAGTGGAACAAGACGACGCGAAAGTTGTCGTGAAAGAGAATACAGTTGACCGTATGTATATGACGATGAATGATCAATTAAGGCAACACGGTTGGCATAACGAGAAACTGGTTCATAATAGATAGGTCGTGATGTTGTTGATGAAAAACGAAATGAGAATTTCAAATGAGAGACACTTCTACGTATTGATAGAATAACTGTACGAGAATAAATCATCTGTAAGCAAAATTTTTTCAAAATAGATGAAAAAAATTAGTGTGAAGTTACTAAATATAATAATCAACGGTTAAAATGTGCACTAAACTATGTGTTCTTTTGCACGTAAAGCAGAAAAAAGTAAGTGATAAAGGTAATCGATTACGACTGAGGTTGTGTTCACTATTTCTTGTCCTTCGATGTTGGTGGAAATAGTTTAGCGTTTAATTCCTTCTTGTTGACTTTTCCCACTGCATTTCGCTCAAGTTTATCCACAACTTTCAATTGCGTTGGACATTGATAACCGGCCAGTTTCTTTTTGCAATAATTTCGCAAGTCTTCAAGGGTCAAATCTTGTTCCTTTTTGCCAGGCTGAAGTACAACCACTGCTGTAACACGTTCGCCCCACTCTAAATCTTTCACACCGATCACCACACATTCACTAACAAGTGGATGATGAAGAATCACTGTTTCGACATCCAAAGCGGATATTTTATAACCACCAGATTTAATGATATCTACGGAGGATCGACCAAGTATACGGAATGTATTATTGGTTTGATCATATTCAGCCATATCTCCTGTTAAAGGAAATACATCGAATCTTCTAATTTTATGTGGAGTGCAGATACTCACCCATCATGAAGAAACCTTGGGAGTCGAAAGCTTTTCGGGTTGCTTCTTCCTTATTGAAATAATGCTTGAATATCGCAGGCCCTTTAACATAAATTTCACCCTGAGCTGTTCCATTATGATCTACAAAGAGATATTTTTACCGATTATTTTACTGTAGGCATCATTTGTATTTGTTAACCTTTTTGTAAAATAGTCATTTTATCGAACGTTCCTTCAGCGACGATGATATCGTTATTTTGTTCGTCTTTTTGAACAAGACGAACAGTTAAATCAGGCATAGGAAGACCAACACGACCTGAAAGTATTCTTCTGTCTCAGTGAAATTTCGTTTGAAAATATACGCATTACCAGCCAGTTTCTTTCCCTCGAGTTTATTTGAAAGAACGCGTCCTGTTTCTGATGAACCAAACTGTTCAACAATTTCAAACCCTGTTAGTTCACGCCATTTTTGAAATGTTGATTCAGGCAATGCCGATGAGCCAGAAAGGAAAAGTCTACAAGAGAAATAAAAAGTTTCATTGAACATTTTTAAATAGTCAGAAATACCTAATATGATCTGAGCAAAGTTTCTTCACATCTTTGCTCTTTGACGATTTTGTGATATGTTCAATGAGTTTGATATAAATTGTTGGTACAGCAGAAAACACATTAATCGGAGGATTGCGATCATTTAGCAAATGATTCCATGTCTATAAAAGAAAGTATGGTTTTATTGTGTAATGAGCATTTTTGTGTTAAATGACTTGTTCAGGATCAAATTTATTCATCATCACAACTGTTCCACCGGCATACAATGGTGACATCACACAATTGATCATACCATGAACGTGATGAAGTGGAAGAACGTTGAGAACTGTATCTTCTTTTGTTAGACGCCATGCTGACAACATCGCGTCCATTTGTGCTCGCAGAGTAGCAATAGTGTGAACAACGCCCTAAAATCTTCTTTCTTTGTACGAATACGTCAAGGAAGACAGACGACGTTTTCTTTACTTTTGGTTTGCCAGTTGTTCCTGATGTGTATAAAATCAAAGCGTCATCGGAACTCTTCGAAAAAATATCATATTGTTGCAGATTGGACGATTGCAGAACGTTTTTTGTCTTCCCTAGTTGTAGATCTTTATCAGTAATACTAATTAATGGAATTTTAAATTTATCAGCCAATGGACGAAGTAATTTCTCGTACTCAGGCGACACGATTAAATACGAGCATTTGGCATCATCAATATAATAGTCAAGTAATGCTTGAGGATGATCTTTACAGAGTGGAATGCATACTGCACGCGAAAGCCAACAAGTCCATTGAGCAACGACGAACGATGCGTCAGGATTGCAAAGAAAAGCAATACGTTTATTAGCCGAATTCTGTTGTACATTGGAACTTGACAAAAGCTTTTCACGTAATTGAACAGATGCAGAGAGTAGATTTGAATACGAATATCGCCCAGTTGAATCGATCACGGCTGTTTTATCAGCGTTATCTAGTGCAGATCGATAAACGGAACGCTGAGATAATGAAAGAACATTTCTTCGATTGACAACGCTCAACAACGATCGTCGAAGCATTCTCGAATACTGTTCCTACCTAAAAAAGTTCATCAAAAATCAGTCGTGTTTGTGTATTGTATCAAAAATGTTATCGTGTTCTAATCTATCTGTCGAGTAGGACTGAATAAAGGATTATTTTCAAATTTCTTCGTATCATTTTCATAACGGTATACGACCCGACGCGAACTTTCGCACGCCTTTTCATTGGCGATATGTCTTATCCAATCATGATGTTACTCAAAATCACTACGGATCACCACCATTTTTAAGTACATTAGCTGAAAATAGAACCGGAAGAGAATCATTAGATGGTGATGTTAGCCAAAAATTCCTTGAATTAGCCGATTCGTGTTGAAATTTAATCTGTATGTTCTTTTGTAAAAATAGAAATAATTACGAATAGGTTTGTTTCTTGAAGCAGATGTAAATCGAAGTGAGCCAGTTGATCGATGTACTAATCATATGAACATCGATTCAGAAAATCAGTGAAAAAAAATGAAAGTCATGGATAAAGGAGGATTTTGGAGGCTCATTCGGATAGTCTTCCAATTATCTTTTTACAAATTCACATAAGGGGACACCTGCTCGTCAAACAGTTGTGGCTGACATTGAGTGTTTAAAACAATAAAGTTACATTTATGATGGGTGTTGGACGTCCTCTTAATGGATGAATATATTACAGAAACTGATGTGAAAGACGAACTGTCAAATCATGCCTAAGTCTTCTATGGTCGATCGTTTTAAACATAAGGTGTCACTATAAAACTAAAGGTTTTCGCTAAAATTACGTTTCGAAATTAAAAATCCTCATTCAATAAATATTTTCATGATTTCGGTTCAATTTATGATGTTAATTAGTATTAGTGACGATAGATAAGATCACACACAGAGGGGATTGGCTATCTTCCGATCTATTTGATTATGCACTCAGTAACCTTTCAACTAATATACTCGACACAGATGTTGAGTATAACTTCAGTTGCACTTTTCGATATCACAGATCACATATGAATTTCGCCTCGCAAATAGCTGATAAGGTTGCCGGACACGCACCAACATCGTAAATCACTTTCAACTAAAGTACTTTTCTGTTGAATCTGATTTGATTTTTTGTTTAAAGGACTCCGTCTCAACCGAAATACGATGAAACACGTACACAACATGCAATTATATGGCGTGGAAAACGACATGTTGAATACGTTGAAAAGCCCATGCCGATGATATCCGATCCTCTGGATATCTTATTGAAAATCACAGCGACAACCGTGTGTGGTTCTGATTTACATTTATACAATAATACGATGCTTGATATGCATGATGGCGACATACTCGGTCATGAATTTATGGGTGTCATCGAACAAGTCGGTGATCAAGTCAAGAAATTAAAAGTTGGGCAACGTGTTGTCGTTGCATTCAATATTGCTTGTGGTTTTTGTGACTATTGCAAACGTGAAGAATATTCTGTTTGTGATACAACAAATCCGTCAAAGCTTCAAGAGAAACTCTACGGTCAAAAGACAGCAGCACTCTTTGGTTATTCACATTTAACAGGCGGTGTACCTGGCGGTCAAGCCGAATATGTTCGTGTACCATTTGCCGACATCAACTGTTTACCAATACCCGATGATGTACCTGATAATAAAGCACTTTATTTATCTGACATTGTTCCAACTGCATATCATGGTTGTTACATAGGTAATGTCAAAGAAGGCTCAACTGTTGCCATCTGGGGTTTGGGACCAATTGGTTTACTTGAAGCACGTTGGTGTCAAATACTTGGTGCCAAACGTATTATTGGAATTGACGGTGTTCCCGAGCGACTTGTTTTAGCAAAAAAGATAGGAATTGAAACAATTAATTTCAAAGAAGTGGATACAACAAAAAGATTACTTGAATTAGTTCCTGGTGGTGTTGATTGTTCATTGGAAGCTGCCGGTTTTGATTATGCAAAGTCGCTACTTCACAAAATTGAACGTTTCCTTAATTTGGAAACAGATGCCGGAGATATTTTAACAGAAATGATCACATGCACACGTAAAGCCGGTACAATATCAATTATTGGTGTCTATAATAATACGGTGAATCATTTTCCTATTGGAGCAATGATGGAAAAACATCTTCTAGTCGTCGGAGGCCAATCTTATACGCAAAAGCATTGGAAAACGTGTTTAGATAAAATCCGTTCAGGTGAAATGGATCCCACTATTGTTATCTCACATAATTTAACACTTAATCAAGTGCCTGATTATTATAAACAATTTGATGATAAAGAAGGTGGCGCATTAAAATGTTTTGTTCGACCGGAAAATTTTGTTGGAACAAAATGAAAATTTCTTGTTATAAATGTTCTTTTTTTATGTAATCTCGCTTTTTGACATATTTTTTAAAATAAAGTCTAGCTATCTTTTTATTGAGTATCTCAGCATCTTCAGATATAATTAAATGAGCCATGTTTTTCTTTGAAACTCTTTGTGGAAACAGAACTAATTTTTGTCTCAACTATTTTTCTTGAGATCCCATGCTAATCAAAGATTAGATGTTGAAAATCGAAAGAAGAATTATGAGATGTATACTCAAACTCATCATTAGGGAGTCTAATTTCTTCACTTGTCCCACATTCGAGGTTATCGCTGGATTTTCACACGTAGTAAAATCAAACTGGGGTGTTTTGTTGAAAGTTGATCTCACCTGATAATGTATAAAGAGAGTTATTTGAAACTGCTACAGAAGTAAAATGACTAACTGAAGAAGATATGTGAGCATTAATCGTACGTCGAATTGAATTTGTGAACATTTCATATCTATGTGTGTTGAAATTATCAGAGGAGTTCTCTATTTGCCGATCCAAATTTGACTGTTGAAAATAAACAAAAACGAAAATTCGTTAAAAATATAGAAAGCAGTAAACTAGTTGAATCGAAGAAAAGCACTTTTTTCAATTTGATTTCTAGGATCAGAAAAACAAAAAGGCCAATATCCCTACAAAGGACATTTACAAATTTCAGTATATACGAAAACGGGTTTTTCTGTGAAGAAACTTATTTCTATTTAGTAACAATACGATATTGCGAGTTTGAAGCAAATACAGACACAAAATATATTAAATAGTTTTTCTTTTTTTTAAATAGGTTCAGCACAACGAATTTTTCCGAAAACTATTCGTTTGAAATACAAAAGATTAAGAGTTTAAACGAGTTTCCACGATTTATCTATAAAGATCACTGACTATCCAATAACAACTTCAACCTACTGAATCACTGTGTCTGGGATGAACGGGCACATATTATGAATTGAGGTAAAGTCAAGTGTAAGACAATAGCGAAAAGTTTCGAAAAATGTACTAGAACGTAATGGTAGGTATAGTTCAATTATAGAACATGCGTACAAATAAGTGTGGTATGAAATTTATCAGATTTTCAAACTTTTCATTAAATCTGAATGTTAACTCGTGGGAACTAAAAAAATGATACTGAAAGTTGCCGTCAACTACCCTATTGAACAATGACACCAAAATACTGCTTAAAACATATCGAATCAATGATAGTGTCTTCATTGTTATTCGACATTTTTATATTTATGTGCAGACAGTATCGCTAGAATATTCTAGATAGTATTAGTCTAATTTCATGTAGCTATCGTATTATTGTATATAAAATTAGCTACTAAGCTTAATACTGTCAGATTACAACCTTAAACCTTTCGACTGATGGTTTTAAAAGGTCTTCTCTAGAAAAACAAACTCATTTATTAGTCAATTATCATTCGAGTTAATAGAATTCTTCCGGAAAATCTTCCAGTTTTATTTTATCATAGCAATATAATATTGTTTATCAAATAACATAATCACAGCGAGGGAGGATTAATTACATTTCCGTTCAAAAGTTTACAGAAAAAGAGTCCAAGTATATGAAATCAATACCAACGACAGATAGTAGCTTTGATCCTCTCTTCATACTAGATCAAATATTTGTATGAAACAGCAGTACAGACTAATAGATCGATCGATTAGAAATGTCTTTCAGTGAGAAAAAGATCCAGAATCGAAACATCTTGTCTGAAGAAGAGCTGACAATATTGATGAGTATAGGACGATTGACAAACAGAAACATCCCCTCGCATACTTAGCTTCACATCTGTCTCATTAATTTCAAGTTCTCGTTTCTCTCTCTCTCACGAAGCGTTTGTTTTGTTAGAGCAAGAAAAAATGGAAGAGAAATGCGAGGGAAAGGAAGATCCATAAGAATCAGAAAATAATTGAATAGGAAAAAACATAGCGACAAGTATTGCTTCTATATACTATTTATTATATCGAGATAAGAAAAGAATCCATTCATATCATTAGCAACATGTTAAATGGAACAGAACGAAATGTCATATCTCATTACAATTTCATATCCCAACAACTAACGAAATATTTCGGCATTTCACTTTATATACTTTGCTTCTTTGGAACTATTATGAACATCCTATCATTCACATGTCAAACATACAGAAATCGTTCATGTTCTCTTTATCTTCTTATCGCTTCAATATTCGACTTTCTTCATTTGAATCTCGGACCACTATCAAACATCTTCGAGTATGGCTTTCATTATCATTGGACAATTCATTCGGTTCCTTTTTGTAAAATCAAACATTATTTCGTTTTTATCTTCTCCATTGTGTCGGCGACATTGACAACGTTCGTCTGCATCGAACGGTACATTCTGAGTTCGAGAAAAAATAACAGATGGAAATATTGCACACGACCGGTTGCTGTCCAATTCATTCGGTTCACCATTATATTTTGGATGATTGTTTCATTGCCGATACTGTTATGTTACACTCGCTCTCGTCATGCTTCACGCAATGAACAATTTACCTGCACAAACACTTCTAGTAGTTTTATTTGTCTTGTAGTTCAACTGCTATATGTTTGTATATTTAATGGATTTTTACCACCGATCATCACGATGATCTTTAGCTTACGAACATGTGCAAATGTTCAACATCTTCGACAACGATCTTTACTCAAGTCACTTCTTGTTCAAACGACGAACTACCAGATAACAACAATGTTCATTCTTCAATCAATCAAATCAAGTTTCTCATGTCTGCCTTTCTCAATCTTTAACCTATATTTACTGGTCACCAGTCAAAAAAATAAAAGTGCAGTGGATCAAGCAAAAGAAAATTTAATCTATCAAATTGTTTATCTGCTGTTCTGGAGCAACTACACAAGTTTCTTTGTTTATATTTGTTCATCAGACATCTTTCGAGAACAATGGGTCAAGACAGTGAGAAGAGTTTTGTATCATACATGTGGAAAACGACGACAAGAATTATCATATGCTTCACACCTGGTTCATTGGGAATCATCTCAACAACATTCATAATTTAGTTTCATACAGACGTTTATCCCTCAATAAAAACAGATTTAAAAACAAGTAGCGCTCATCCGTTGGATTCGCTGACCCTTTTCTGAAAGAATTGTCTCAGTGCTGACCACATTCAAACACTTTGAAAGACAACTTAGGCACTGCGATTGCTACTAGTCCTCAACTGAACCATGGCACTATGTCACACACTAGAGTGTGGTGAAGGGACAATTCGTCGCCGATATAATTAATTAGAGGATGCTAATCATGTATGTAAGACAGGTGAGTTTCTATACAAAGTCGTCTCGTAATTGATACTAATTGGTTTTATTGAAAGAAAATACAACACAGAAGAAATACAAAAAATATCTACAACAACATATTTGCAGCTAAGTCTTTCGAATGTCCACCTAGATCGATGCTGTTGTAATCACCAACTAATCGCGTAATTCTCTCGTCGAGTTTTCGATAAACTGCTTTTTTTGGTTTCGGTTCGTGGCCTTATCGAATTTGAGTGATATCAATCTCGAATTTCGATTGTTCCATACGGATTTTGTCGGCTAACTTCGTGATCGTTGGATGAGCAGTTGAAACACGTTTCGCGAATGCATTGTGCCAGCCTTCGATAGAATTGTTGGATCGAGGAAGATTGGAAGTTATTCGATCGTGAATGTTCCATAATTCAATTGGAAATTGTGGGTTTTTACGACCAGCACCTAAAAATATAAAGGTAAATTCATTTCTTTCATCATTCAACATTGTTACCTCTTCTTTTTCGTTCACCAATCCAGGTTTTCTCGAAATAATTGAGAAATTGATCTGCATCGTCGTCGAAGTCGTCGACTATCAATTTGAAGGCTTTGACCACATCTAAAATAGGAACAAAAGCTAAAGCGATAAGTTTTTTAACATTTAAATAGAACGACTTATCGGCCTGATATTTATTTTGTAAACCGTGACTTTGAATATTTCGCCAAATGTACTGACCGAAATGGAACAAACAACCTAAATTAGAAATAAATCTTTATTTATTGTTTATGCAATTTGTTTCTTTCTTACCTTTGTGTAGGACATTTGGAAACAGTGATTTGACCGATTTTATCGTAGCGGACTCGAAGTCCGTCAGTATTGAATCTGGATTGAAATCGTCTTCTTCCATGATGCGTTGGAAGAATTGGTCATAGTCAGAAGTTTTCTTTCCTATAAGCAGTCCGTACACCAGTCGGATAACTTGCGATTTGAATAGTCCATGTAGTGTAAACATTTGATAAAAGTCCTCCGGGGAAACCTACAATAAGTTTTATTTATGTCGAGAAAGAGAAGTATTTCTTTTACCGAGAACGTTCCGTCCGCAAACCAATGTTTACACGTTTTCAAAACTGACAAATTCGAATTGGTGGTAAAGATGATCAAATCTTTGTCCTCGTGAAGAACGAAGTTTTCGCCGCGGTCTGTTTGTTTGAGTTGATCAGGTAAACGGTTGCCGGGTGTCGTTGGTTCGGCTTGGCGTTGTCGACGGATTGTTCGAAGAAGCGACTCGGTTTGTGGTAATCGACCAGCAGCATCTAAAGGAAAAGAACGTAGATTAGAATATAAAATCTTACTTGTAGCTTCTTCGCTATCGGCAGCTTTTGATATAATTTTGTTTTTTTAATTCGACGACTGGAAGTTGATCGATAGTTGGTGCATGTGAATGTGCAGTTGGTTCAGACAAAATAGCATCCATAGCTAAATTTGTTTTGCATCGACCTAATTAAAAGAACAAGTTAGCGTATAAGATCCTTTTGTTTAATTCACCTTTACAATCACGGTTTTTACATCGAATAAGAACTTTGTCGTCTTTGGTTTTTTCGACTGTGTAAAGATAACCTTTATAGCCGATCATTGGTTTCTTTCTTTCAGTTAGAAGCCTTTTGATTTCACTCATACTCATTGCTTTCGCGTAATCAAGTATATCGGTATGGTTTAGTTTATGAATTTGTTCTGTTTTTAGAATCATTTTATATTTTATGCGGAGATTAATTGGTTTTTCTTCATCTTTTCAGAATACTTTTAGAGAATTGGTTTTTGCCATCAACAGATAACACAATCATTCACCTAGCAATAGTTTATTCATTAATTGAAGTACAAATTCAGTCAATCCAATTAAGAAAAATACAAATTCATGTATAATATTTAATTGGCGACGAATTGTCCGGCGACGGATTGTCCTAGTGCCCTAGAGTGCATAGAAGACAGAGATTGTTCTTTTTCAGGAACCGAACCGATTAGCCATTGGTCAGTGAGTAATTCTCGAGAACTAACTGTGTTGACTGAAAACCCCATCCCTCAATGGCTAGTCGCTCGTCAACCTCCCTCCGGTCGGCCACTCACGACCAGCCATTCACCTTTTCATCTGTTGTTCTGTTTTCACATTACTCGCATGAAAATTTTACACATTAGCCTGTCTCTTTTAGCAAAAAATTGACTCTTTTCTCTGCTTTCAACAAAATGATGCATTCTCCAATATTTTCATTGAGGAATATACATTTGCCAAATCCTTTTCAAAAATCGTTGAAGCCTGACAAGGCTATTCCAAGTGTACACTTTAAGATGAATCTGGAAATTAAGCCCCAAGTTGTTCGTCGGCCTCTCCGGTCGACCACTCACCGCTAGTCGTTGGTACCGAATAAGTGTTTAATGATATTTTCAAATGGAAAAGTACCTCATTCTTGCTGAGTTCGTCTCTAGCACAGTTGCCGAAATTCTTCACAACTTCGTGACCTACAGTATATCTTTTATTGTCATTTTTAGTAGAATGAGTTGGTGATCTACATCGTTTTTTCTTGAAGCTCGAAAAGATGTCATATATATATATATATATACCTTAGAAAAATGATGGGCACTTTGCGACAGTCTTATAAATCTCACTTTTCAACTAATTTTCAAAAGAAACAACTAGTCGTTCGTCGGCCTCCTTTCGGTCGGCCACTCACGGCTAGCTGTTCCCATGCGTACTCATTTTACTATCTTAACTTCATTCGGACGAAGACGCGTTCCGAAAATCAGCACATTTCGGAAAATCAATTCATAATCAAAAACTTAGAAGCTTTACATAGCTATATGATTCTCTGGAAAAGGTTCCAATTTTCTCTCCAGTACAAGGAACCTTAAATAGCTGCCACCTATGTTCGTGCAGAGCAGCGATTAATTTCTGACCAAGAAATCTTAAAGCTCTATAAAAATCACAAAGTTTGTTCTTGAAAATATTATTCTGCAAATCGACGACTAGTCGCTCGTCGACCGCTCGCGACTAGCCGTTACATGTACGTTTTCACTCTTCCATTTAGTCTAGGGTCACCTTTGAAACTAATTCATTCATTTTCCTCTATTCCTTCTTTAAAAGTCACCCTCTTTGTGCTGCTGTGACTGTCGAAGACAACACCTGACAAGCGAAACATTATTTTGAATGACTGGTATCAGATGATACTCGTATAGTATAACTGTTTATAAAAGTGTGTAATCTCATTAATATGCTGATGACTATGGAGATCCAGCGATCGGACGTCAGTCAGCTGTTACACTTTGTTCTACATACATATTGCCGCTTAAAACGTTATCGTCTAAAAAATTGAGCCTTTGTCCCAAAAAACGGGTCAGAAAGTGTTCATAAAAAAAACTAACACCGGATTCGAGATCCTCGACCTTGATTACCCTTCGGTCGACCCTTACTCGACAACCAAAAAAATTTCATTACTTAATAAGTAACTAGCTAATTAGCTAATTGGAATTTCAAGAAAATGACGCCGGAATCGAAATCCTCGACCTCGATTACCTCATCAGTGGTCGATCTTTGATGACTATAGATAATTTTCACTGATTCATAATATGTTGCAATCTGATTGGATTATGCAAACAAACAAACAAACTTTATGCATTTTCATCACTGTATTTATGACGCTATAACCCATTCTTTCAGAAAAGGGAAAAATACTCTGAGATTAATAAGAAATATTCGTGGTTAAAAAATATTTGTACCTAACTAAAACATATTTAAAAACACGTTCTGTTCTTTCAATTACTGACAACGACGAGCGGGGCCAGTGCAATGAATGCCATTCACAAAACCACGTTGACCATCTGGGAAAATAAGTTTATACCAGAGACCACTGCTCTTCGGCACGTTTTGACTGCGCTTTGTCCACACGTAACATTCACTTGAGTAGTCGTAACCTCCGTGAACAAAACGCAACCAGGTGCAATAGTATGACGGACATTCGTAAACACGAGCCGAACGCTGACACGAAACGATGGCTGTTGTATTCTACAGAATAGAAAAGAGATATTGAACGTTCGAGTCCAATAGAGATACTTACAAGAGCACAAGTGTACATAACGAATAGTAAAACAAGCAATGACTGTACAACGAATTTCTTCATCATTTGCTTCTCCGACGCTGACTTTTGTTTTTGTTTGTCACGACCAGTTTCAATGAGGCGAATTTATACAGGCTGAAATCCATGCAAGGAGGAAAAAGCGAGACAACATCTACTTCAGATATTATTTGAATTATAGTGAAGTACCAATGAAGTAGAAGTGAGGTACCAATGTAGTAGGAGTGAGGTACCAATGAAGTACCGGTGTAGTAGTTGAAGTCTGAAGTCTCGCTTTTCCCCCCCTTGAGAATCTTCCATGAAATAAAAAATTCCCCCCCCCCACGAATTTTTTTCTGAAAATTTCCGCCAGCTGTTTTATCTTCAGCACTCACCAACTAACTTTATTTCAAACAAAATAGGAATAAAAAGCATGGCAATATTTCATTCTGTTCGCTACTATTCGGACAACATAGGAATTCTTTCTACTCGTTGTTTTCTTAAGCGATTCAAAACAACCAAACCAGGTGAAACTAGTTTGAATAGACGGTAATGATCTCCCAGGTTATTATGGCACGGTCGGTTCCGGCCGGTTAGGTTCGTTTTCCGACATTTCCTTGCCGTCGGATTCCAGCCGGAAGTTCAAACGTAGGTTCCAGTCATTTCCTGCAAACTTCGAGCTGGAAACGATCAGGAACTGATCGGATATTTCCTGTGCAATTCCGGCCGGAATCGGCGAAAACTGTGCCGGAATCGACTCCGATTTCAACGGATCCAGTCGCCGGAATGATCGACCTGGGCTGTTTTTTGAAGAAAGGATCTGCTAGATGAAGCGGTGGTGCATTCCAGTGTAACATTACTTCTTTATTTGGATGGACGTACATAGGAGAAGAGGGAAAGAAATCAAAGAATTGAATGTGTATATTTTTAGCAAGATGAAGAATAAAGTAAACAAGTAAAACAACAGACTCAAAAGAATGATTTATATCATACAAGTAACAATCATCCTTCGGATTCGCCGACCCTTTTCTGAAAGAATTCTTCTTCTGCTCAACATGTTCAAACGGTTTGAAAAACACATAAGATACTGCGATTGTCACTAGTCCTCAGCTGAATCCGATCGGATCTGACCATCCGACAAAATCCGATCGGATTCGTGGAAACGGAATTGCATTGGAAACCGACTCGAAAAATCTCGTCGGTTGTTGCAAATTTTATGAGCGATCTTTTTAGCTATGTTCTATGATGACCCTTAGAAAATCCAGGAAATCCATGTTTCGGATCCGACGAGATCCGACATAGGATCCGATCGGATCGGAGACCGTCGGAATCCAATGCGATTCCGTCACCAGAATTTCATCGGATCCGTCGAATTCCTGTAGGATCCGATGGGATCCGAGTACGGGATTGTTCGACCTGGGAGATTGTTCTTTTTTCATGAAACGAACCAATTAGGCATTTGTCAGTGAGTAGTTGTTTAGTGTTAACTATGTTTCACAGCTAACATTTGCTTCTTTTCTATACTTTCAGGAAAATGATACCCTATCGAATATTTTCATTGAACGTTCGCGAAATTCCTTTTAAAAATCTTTGATTTTTTTATAAGGTTGCCCCACACGTATACTCTACGGAGAATCTGGAATTCTAACGTCTAGTCGTTGATGCATATACAATCAATTTGGTATTTCCACTGCAAAAAGTTAACTCGTTCAAAATGGACCGGTTTCTCATCAAAGATAGTGGGACATCATCGGATAGTGTATTCTGAAGCACACATTTTATTCTTCTTTCCATTTTTACTAACAAATAAGCGGGTAATTTCGTTCTTCAAACGATATCAACCAAGTTTCTTTATAAATCATTCACATTATCTAGTTGTTTCAATCCTCATTTTCAACCTAACTATTCATATAAATGTCTAACCGTTGGTGAATCTGGCTTTCATCGTTAACTCAGACCGAACCAGCTCTATGCGTACCTTCGATATATAATTCGTTTTTATCTTCACCCAGAGCAAGTGTGTGAGTTGTCTCTCAAATTGTCCAAGACGTCCACGAAAAATGACCGGACGACAAGAGACCTACAATAAATTATAGATACGCGAATTAGTCGAAGTCAGAAAAATCGACGTAACTGGAAATGTAAAAGATATTGGAGTTCCTTTTTACTGCACACTCGAATAAATAAAATAAGTAACGAGGCGCAGTGACCGCCGGCCCATTTCTGAAATGATATCATCACATCCTTTTATTCCTCAAAAGAAAGAAATAGAAATTATTTCATTTGAATAATCCACCCATTCGATTATTTGTCGCGATGTTTTCCTCATACTCTTTTCGCTTCTTGAAATCTTCTGAAACTAACGCCCAGTTGTTGATACATAAAAAGTATTTATGATTTTTTCATATACAAAAGCATCTTGTTCATACTGAGTCGGTTTTTAATCGAAATGATCAAAATTCGTCAAAACAGTGTGATTTACAGTATATATTTTATTGTTCTCTTCAATTTAAGAAGTTGGTAATCCGCAGAGCTTATTCTCGAAGCTCGAAGAGATATTAATCATGTTTCTTCAAAAAAAAAACATTGGCACCAGTTGCGACTCTTATCAGTGTCATCTTTCGAATAAATTTTAAAAGGAACGCCTAGTCGTTCGTCGAACTCCCTCCGGCCGGCTATACAAAGAATACCGTACCCCCCCCCCCCCCCCCCCCCGCCCCCCCCACACCACCTCAAACACCCCAGCCCGGCAGCGAGGCACGGTCCA